CATTACAAGCAACCATTTACAGATAACTTTCGTGAATATTTTAAAAAATATTTTCTATCTCTGCAAATATAAAATTTTTAATTATATATGATTATTTATTCGTTAGATATGTACTACTAAATTTTATTGAATTTACTACTGATTTTAAAAATAATATCGACAACCTTATTGTAATACATTTTTTTATTTTTATTTTTTAATTATTATCTACATTGTTTGTATTTTGTATATTTGTATTCAAAATTTTTTTACCATTTTTCTAAGACTGTTAATTGTAAACTTCAAACATTTTAGAAATAAAGCCATTTAACTATTATTATTATTATTATTATTATTATTATCTCGCAGGACGCACTTAAAAAAAGAACTTTTTCCAGGATTTTTGTCCATTTGCCGATTTAGGAAATAAATAATTTATTCCTGTCATTTGACTATACTCTATAACTATATTTAAATATATTGCTTTATTGCCTTTTGCATTTCATATATTCGATTCATTTGGCAAGAAGAGCGTCAGAAGAAAGGGCCCTAGCCGGCGGGGCCCAGCCAGGACAAAAGGAGGTCCCACAAAGCGCCTGCACTGGCTGCATTTGCGGTCGCAGTAGACGACGGATGGGGCCCACCTACGAAGGCTGTCCAGGCCTACACGAGATGAGGCAGGATAAAGAGGGATAATCCCCCTCGATCCCAAATCATTGAGGCCAATTTCTAGCCATGGAATAGTAGCGATTCATTTAGGTTCCAGCATTTTAATTATGCTCTGCTTACTTGAAAATAATAAAAATAACATAAACGTAAACGTAAAGCATGATACATAGACCATCACTGGTGAATGAAAATTTGTTATATTTATTGTTTTTGTCAGATCTGTGCCTAGTATTGAATTTTGCAACTAGGTAACAGCGAGATTAGTAGATATTAATCCTTAATAGTGATATAATCAAATTAGTTGATATATAGAAAAAGTAAAAATACTGTTTGTACTAACTTTTACGGTATTCTTATATTACAGGTTAGTTATTCTACTTTAGATTGGAAATGTATGTATTTCACAAAGTTATTTCAGAACAGTTCATATTTAAGTTGTATGAATTTCAGAATCAGAATATACTTCTGAATTCTAGACTTATTCCTTATAACGTTAAGATAGGAAATAGGTTTTTTTTTCGAAATGTCAAATGTGAGATTATAGAGGGTGCAAGAAAGAATAAATTTTGGAGTTACCTACTAGGTACTTGAATCAAACCATAGCTTCGTTTTTCTGAACAATTTAGTTTGTCGATTCACGTCTTTATCTCTTTTATAAATTGAGGTAAATTAAGGTGCATTACTTTATTTAAAAATTTTTTAAATTTTAAAGAAAGAACAAAAGAAAAAAATAATCAATACATCGATGACTCACACTTAAAACCGGAAGTTAATCTTTTCTTGTTCAGTGTCGTGAACAACCCAAAACAACCAATTGTTCAGAAAAGATGGAACTACAGTTTTATTCTAGACATTCGCTATTTTAGCTCGCACAGCTTATAGCTGTTTTACATTGACAATTTATTGATGAATAAATTGACGAAGTTCTTCATGAATTAATTCACGAATTTATTGGTAAACAGTGTGGTTTTACACTGCTACAGACTTTGTCAAGTTTTTTGACGCATCGATCAGTTCTACCAACGAATCAAAGAAGCAAATAAATTTCAAAAATGTCACCTTTCCACTCATAATTGTAGTGATACAACAGCGGTACCGTTTTGACACATATTATATAAATTTAGTGTTTGTAAGTAACAAATCAGTAAAAACAATACAAAACTAGTACGACGCCACACAATTATTTACATATTCCAATAACATAACCTCATTACTTATCTGAGGCTGGAAATCTGTTGGGTTGGTACTTCCGAACTTCACGAAGAAATTGACGAAAATTAGAACATGCTCTAATTCGTCAAGAACTTGATGAAGTTATTTGACAGCAGATTTGGTGCATTACACTTGTCCAATTTCTTGATGAAGCGACTTCTTGAATTAACTGATCAATAAATTGTCAATGTAAAACAGCTATTACTGAATGTTTTAAATTTCAGGGAAAAAATGTATTCCCTCTGGTAGACCATAGGTATGTCGAAAACTGAAATTTCTATAAAAAATCATCATAACTGAATAAATTAATAACTCGAAAAAAGACATTGAACTAGCTGTTTGAGAGAAAGGACTTTTGAGCCCATTGAGACTTGATCCACGTGTTCAGAACTATCGTATGGCAATGTTTCAAAATTGTCAAAAATTGACCGAAAGCCACTTTCCATAAGGATTCTGCGGGGGCCTTAGGGCCCACTTTTAGTGGCTAGTCAATTTCGATGCAAAGTATTTTACAAGCTATCAACTGTGTCAAAATACTTTTAAATATTATACCAACATTAAAATTAATTTAATATCTGTCGGACACTAAAATTTAAAAATTAACTTTATGAAATTACATTTGATCTTTTCTGAATTTTGAAATTTAATGTCTTAAATCGAATTGATTTATATAAAAACCCCTTCTGAAATTGAGTTTACTATGATAGAATTGTAATTTTTCGAAATAGGTTATTTCTTAAATACTTTTCCGGAATTTCCTGGAGGTGTGTAATATTTTATTAAAACGAATAATAAACAATAAAGATAATGGATGATTATTCAAGTACCTACTGCATTAAAATAAAAAAACCTATATCAAATCTCTAATTGCAACTACGAAACGTAAGGGTGACGTAAAGTTCTAAATTGGTCACAATTAAATAAACAAATATCGAGAGTGTCAATGTCAAATTAGCATGCAAAGTTAAATAATGGTTTGTATAATCCACATACTTCTATAGAAGTATACTATACTTCTATAGAAGTATGTGGTATAATCGCATTGTCATCTGTATCTGTCGTATTTATAGTATACGCTTTGTGGTCGAATTTGTGTACTCAATTTGACATAATTATAGTCTGTTTTGGTAATTATATGGTATTGCATATTTATACCGGAAACTATTCAAATATTAATAACATTGCCTTTTAAACTTTGTACTTGTTTAATTATAAACTATCAAATTTGATCAATAACATTTAGGAGAGAACAGGATGCTCCAGATTATTTACCTCGACTTTACTACTCGACTCAAACCAGTGGCGTAGATATTTGGTATATTGGTTATATTTTCCTAAAAAATGATGGCACAGTACTGGAAAAAGAATCGTCGTTTTTAAAAACGCAGGTTTTATTTTTCAGTATTTTGGAAAACTTTTGTCGTTTTGATAAAAATTTGCAATTTGTTAAGAATATAGATTAGATAAATTAGCATTTAATTCAATCAAATTTAGTTAAATGATTTACAAAAAAACTTTTCGATACGTTTTTTCTATTTATATATTCTAATAAACCTACTGATGACTATTTTTTCTAAATTTTTACAAAATCAAATCTTTAAGGGCCCCCTATTCTTTAAATAGCGTTTTCCGCAAAGACAAATAATTTCAAACATTTAATAACTGAATAATCTAAAGCTTATCAAATAATAGGAATGTTATGTCATGCCACCTGAGTATTTTCAAAGACGCCGCAGTAAAACGAATAAACAGGTGCAAAAAACGATCAAACCATCAAGGTTTTAGGTACTGAAATCTATGAAAATACTAACTTTTTTAGACATAACTCCACACGTAAATATTCTTACAACATTTACTTGGTTAGTCCTACATATAATATTGTTTACTTTTATTTATAAGTACGTGAAAATAATTCTTAAAATGTGGGGTTAGGATAACAGAAAACGCATGTTTTACAAACGCTTTTTTATTAGTTATTATTTTATTTGGGTAAATTTAAGTGGTAACAATGAATAAACAAAACATCAAGGATTTAATTTTTTTGCTTACTTTTGTTCTACACGTTATACTTTTCAAGATTTCAGTACCTAAAAATGCCAGAAATTTCACCATTTCTCGGCCAGGGATATGGCCACCGCATAATGCATTGAAAGGGGGAGGGGGAGATAATTTTAAAACTGCCGATACACGGTTCCAGCTCTGTTCGGTGTACATGATATCCCAATTTCGATGCCCCAGGGCTGCTATTGGCTAATAAAAAACGCGAATAAAAATTTGGGAGTATCAATTTGCCTTTGAGCCAAAAATATTATTTCTGAAACTTCTGGAAATGCCTGTTATGGTGTCATGAAATATATTTTTCATATTTATTCGGGAAGACAGAGTTTTTCTTACATTAACAAACATTTTTTATATGTCCTTTCGTTTAAAAGTTACAAGAAGAAATGTGAAAACGCGCTTATTTTAAGTATCTCGAACAAAATCGAATTCGCCATGACTTAATTCGGTCTCCATGGAAAACAATAGACAGTTTGGATGTTGAAGACATATAAACTATTATATTTAATATAAATATAGAACTTAACATGACAACAGTAGGTAATTACTAAGAATTAATACAATTATTACACAAATAACCTACCTAATATTTCAAATAACTTTAACATTTTAACAAGTCAACTATAAATTATTTTCTACATTTTCTACCCCTTTTTCTAATAAACACATATCTAATCGTCGCCGAACTTATCTTTGAGTGACTTAGCGTTTTCATTTACTGCCTGTACATGTCTTAAATAATCGTTTAAGACGCAGATCTGTGTAGAACTTTCTTGGAAAACAAATTTTTTGATTTCATTGATGACGTAGGGCTTAATTATATTCAAAATATGTGGTATCAGCTCGATGGTGTTAATTTATCATTTTCCGAATAATTGGATATGTAGGTCAACAAGATCCAATAGCATGGCCACCGCGTTTCCCAGATCTAAATCCTTCGGACTTTTATTTACAGCGACATATGAAGCTACCATCTGTCAGAATTTGTCGTAGAGCTTATAGAACACCCTGTATAACATACAATTTCTTGAAATATAAAACGTGTATGTCGAGCAATGTAATCAATATTTATTTTGTTTCAGATGGGGTGGGACAAGAGTTTCTACATCAGTTGTTTAGTATTACTATCAGTATTTCTATTAGTGTCAACAGCACCTCATGATGACTTTTCTGATCTCAGAGGATCTTACTGTAGAGAAAGAAAATGGTGTTGTAATGGGAGAGAAGACAGTTGTGCTGTTCCAATACTAGGTCAGTACACTTTATTTATAAAGAAATTAAAGTTTAGAGAAACATTTTAGTTGCGATTATATCAAGTGTTTATTCACTGAGACTTTTTGAAGACTTTGAGGATTTCACAGAGATTCCAAAAGATTCTGTAAACGTTTTGTTGATATTTCATCCAAGATCTGCTACTTACTTCTACTTCTAGTGGTTAGTCCTAATAAGTCCCATAGCACTGCGGCCTGATTAGGCTTATTGTGCGTCCCACTACTATTCAACAAGTAGATTTGTCCTTTTTACAAAGTCCAAAAGCTTCCTTGCTGACACTTCTCTCAGTTCCTTGGGTTCCAAGTAGGGACTCCCAAGGAGCGCCATTCTGCTACGTGCAAATCCCGGGCACTCGCCCAGGATATGCAGAGAAGTTTTATCCGCCGATTCACATCCTCGGCAGACCGGACTGTCTACAAGCTTTAGCTTATGTAGATGTTTCCTAATGTCACAGTGTCCCGTTATGAGTCCTGTCACTCTCCTGAGCTGGATTCTGTTCAAGCTCAGTAAATCATTCGCTCTTTCCTTCAAAGCATACTCCATGAGCTTCTTAGAATGTCTATGTCCTGGCCTTGCAGTCCAGTATTTCCTATGTTCTGTCTCAGTCCATTTGCCGAGAACCCGCGATGTGCCACAGAAGGGCTCCAGGCCAATGAACTCAGTTTGGGATCCCTTCCTAGCAAGTTCATCCGCTTTCTCATTTCCACATATGCCTTTATGCCCTGGCACCCAACACAGTCTGACTGTATTGTTGGTGGCTAGTTTAGTCAGCATTTGTAAACAATCCCACACCAGTTTTGAACTTATCTTGTGTGCGCCCAAAGCTTTAATTGCAGCTTGACTATCAGAGAATATATATATGAGTTTACGTTTATAACCTCTACGTACTTTCTCTGCCAGACACGCCATTATCGCGAAAATTTCTGTTTGGAATACGGTAGGGAACTCTCCCAGAGTGTAGCTTGCACTCCATCTGGGTCTGAGTCCATATATTCCTGCACCCGTCCCTCTGGTCATTTTGGAGCCATCTGTAAACCATACTAGGCTCCACCTTTCCAGGGTATTAAACTTTTCCTTCCATTTGCTTTGATCCTCTATTCGAGTCTCAAAAGGCTTGTGAAAGTGAAACCTTGGAACCATCTTGTCAGATACCATCCCGAAAGTTGGTTCCGACATAGATGTGCTTATAATCCTGGAATAGGAACTACCCCTCCAGTCGTTGTTATTCCTGAGTCGATATGCTGCTAGCCGCGCTTCTCTTTCCACCACTACTAAGAAGTAAGAAGTAAGATCTGCTAAGTGAATAGTCCCTTGCTGCAATTTTTTGATTATGTAATACAAAATTTCGATGCAATAGAGCTAGAATTCTTTAATTAAAAATATTTATCTATGTTGTAGTTAGCTCTGTTGTTTTACTATTCTAGATTCTTCAAAAATTTCAGGAACGTTATGTTATTGCGATAATTTTTGTAACAACACAAGAGTAAACGATTGCTGTCCAGATTATCTGCCTTTTTGTTTTGGAGTGGAAGAGGCTCGAAAGTGCCATGAACGCCAAGGCAAGGTTACAGGCAGGATCGTAGAGAACTGTAATGAATGGTAAGTAACCCGACTGTTTGTACTAAATTTTACTGTGGTCCGGCAGTGTTCTGTGAAACTATTGGTCGTTTCAAAAGGTAGATCCCCAAGAAGACCCGTACGATTATGATAATCTCCAAATTAGAATTTGTTTTTTTTTTATTTAGTTTTAAAAATGGATTTATGTACTTTCCTATTAATTATAAAGTTCTGATAAATTTCAACTGTTTAGTTTAGTTTTGTTGTACAACAGCAAAAGTAAATTTATTCAAAAACTCATTGAGTAAAAGGATTTGGTATTCAGTAAGTAACTAAATTGCTTGACAGATTATACGTTACAAGTCGACAAAAAAAAAACGATTGAAGCAATTTCATAGAAATTTAGCAGGTATAGCTTTTTATAGGGAACAAAGCATGTTTAAGGTTTTTAATTTGTTAATTTGGGCCATAGAATCGATGAAAGTTTCTCCAAGCATTTTGGTTACACCTTACATACACAAATGTTCTAAAACATGTTTATTATATGTCAAGTATGTCAAATACTCGTAGAATATGTAACAATAATTCATGAATTACTTTAATGATATGCGTATTTCAGTATTTGTAAAGGTGTAGACGAATTTACTGATCCCGAATGGATATGCGAGAACCACACGTGTATCATTGACAGTTCCACAATTCAAAGAATCGATGGACAATATCCCTATAGTTGGAGTGCAAGAAATTATAGCGAATTCTGGGGAAAAACTTTAAAAGAAGGTGTTGGCAGGAGGTAGAGTTATTTTTTATGTGCCAAATATAACACTTATAACATTACTCAATCGTTACGTTTTATTCAACTTGTTTTCCAATATTCTAATGCTACTTGACTTAGAGCAGTTTTAGATTGTCCAGAGGAATACTTGTTACATGTTTTAAAATTCAACATTTTGTAATGAAGTCAAAGAATGAAGATTAAAAAATATTTTTCGCAGCCGCAGAAGTTATGTAATTTTAAAATATTAATTTTAGATTGGGTACTCTTCCACCACAGCGATTCGTTTTGAAGATGACTCCAGTAAGGAGGGCATACGATCCAAATGCGCTCCCCAAGGAATTTGATTCAGAGGAGAAATGGCCTACATTTATTTCTGGAATTCAAGATCAGAAATGGTGCGCTTCATCGTGGGCAGTCTCTACAGCAGCAGTTGCATCAGATAGGTATTTCTCTTAATAGAAAACTTTATGTCATCTGCCGAAAGTGAGAAATGATTTATTCATGTTTGTTATTAAAAGTTATAAGACTTGGAACACTAAACACATCTAATGTTTTTGCAGATACGCTATACTATCCAAAGGTCGTGAAAAAGTGCAGCTCAGTGCACAAAATCTAATTTCCTGCAACACTAAAGGACAAGAAGGTTGTGAAGGAGGCCATTTAGATAGGGCTTGGTCGTTTGTAAGATACAACGGGTAAGTTATTGCCAGAAGACCAACGGCAATCAAGCTAGCAAGAAATAAACATTCACACTATGTAGAAGAGACGAAAACAGAAGCAAAATTTCGCTATACTTTATAGGAAAAATTATTTAGATAATTAAATTTCCCATCAAATGGCTTATTTAACAAATTTAAAAGGAAAATTTTATGCAAAAAATCGTTAATCAACAATTAAAAAAAAGCAAAAAATATTTTTTTTTATTATTTTTACTTTTTTGACTCTAATTTATGTTAAAAACGACGAAAATAAAATAAATATTTAAGTTTGACCGGTTATAACTCAGTCAATATTAGTCCAAAAACTTTTGAAAACGCATCGTTTTGAAGGGAATTCCATATAGTTTTTTTTGTACAGCAATTTGCCTACTTCTACTAAAAAAAAGTAAAAAATAAATAAAAAAAATCTTATTTTTTACTTTTTTAAAATAGGTTATTAACGATTTTCTGCATAAAATTTTTCTTTTAAATTTTCTAAATGAGCTGTTTCGATGGGAAATTCAATTCTCTACAAAATTTTTCCTATTAACTATACCGAAATTTTGCTTCGCTCTCGCGCTATATTTAACAAAACTGTAAAAGTGCATTTTCACCCCTATCTTCAATTTCAACCCTTTAATTTAATAGCACCTCGCGTTTTTTTCATTTTTAATGACTCTTCAAACAAGTCATGTGATGAAAATCCTTGAAAGAATCCTTCCTTTTTTGCAAAAAATGAGAGTTAAAACGTATAAGGGTTAACGCGACGAAAATCGAAAAATTGGCTAAGTTTGAGCTGCCATATATCAGTCAATTTTCATCCAAAAATATTGATAACCTCTTTTTTATATACTTTTTTAATGAAGCCTATACCTATCTTTACTAAAAAAAACTAAAGGCAAACAAATTTTAAAAATCAAAAAATCGAATTTTTTGCTTTTTTTTCAAATTGTTTATTAACGATTTTTTGCATAAATATCATTTGCATATTTTTAAATAAGCCATTTCGATGAGAAATTCAATTCTCTAAATAATTTTTCCTATAAACTACAAGGAAATTTTGCATCGTTTTCGAGCTACAATTAAAAAACTGAAAGGGGTGCATTTTCACCCCTGTCTCCAATTTCCACCCTCTAATTTAAAGTACTCCGCAGTTTTTTCATTTAAAATGACCCTTTGAACGATTCACGCAATAAACGTCATAATTCCTTTTAACCCTGTTTTTTGGGTATAATCAATAGCCTATTAGGCTTACAAGGGCATGTCATTCATTTTACACAAAAAAAATGTTCGCGAAATTTACCCTGCTGGTTTTAAAATAAAACCACGTTTACTTTTCCATCTTAGATTTGTGTGGTTCACAGAAAGTTGCTTCAAATCAGAAAAATCCATAAGAAATAAGTGGTTCGGTGATTTATTTTGATCATTAGGACGTAATGACTTGAATGTAAAAAATATAAGTGAGGTATTTAGGTATAATTTAATTAAAAACGCATAATTTTATTGTATAAAATATGATTTTGTTAAATGTCACTATTTAAATTACGAGCCAGGTTATTTTGCAAATTTTTAGCACCGAACCACTTATGGATTTTTCTGATTTGAAGCAACTTTCTGTGAACCACACAAATCTAAGATGGAAAAGTAAACGTGGTTTTATTTTAAAATCAGCAGTGTAAATCTCGGGAAATTTTTGAAAATTTTCCATATTCTATATTTAGACGTCATTATCTCGAAAACGGTTAAATATAGGTATAGGTTAGGTTAAATAAAAAATGATCAGAATTCCATGGAGAATTGAATAAAAATACAAAAAAGTGGGGTTTCCATTTAAAAAAGTTGCTCTTGAACTTTTTTCTGGGCCACCCTGTATAAATGAAAATTGCTTCAGAAAATGCGCAACTAAAAATATAATTCGACGGGTCCGAGCGATTTTTCAAATAACGAACATCTGATTTTTAAATAAATATAGTCCATACTTTTGCCGCTCACTGTATAACGATGTAGTCAAAAGCTTTTAAAGATTTAAAATGAAGTTAAATAAACACTTGATGCGAAATGCATGTTCTTCACTTCTGATAAAAAACCGTTTGTTGTAAGTGGGAATTTTGTTTGAGTATTTGCACATGGCCTCAAAAAGGACATAATTGACTAATGTTGTTGTGGAAACTGTGCAGTTGCAAATACGTTTTTTGGTTTTAGGCTTGTGGATGAGGAATGCTTTCCGTACGATGCTACAGATAAAAAGTGCACGATAAGGAAGAAAGGGCGTCTGTTGGACGCTGGATGTAGCCCCCCACTTTATAAAGATCGCAAAAATAGGTACACTGTCTCACCAGCCTATAGACTTGGGAATGAAACAGATATTATGTACGAAATTACTAGATCTGGACCTGTACAAGGTATATCCTTTTCTTTTTTCCGTATTAAAATAGGTATCCGGGTTTTAGAGACCAAAATTAAACGACTTTTACACGCTCGCTTATTTAGCTTATTGTCAAATAATGTTTTATTGTAAAAAGTCTCAAAATATGGCAAAATCTCATCTATCTTTTTTATTTTAGCTACGATAAAGGTGTACCACGATTTCTTCATGTACGGAGGGGGGATTTACAAGCATACTAATTTATTGAGAACCGATAAAAAGGGTTACCATTCCGTAAGAATTGTTGGGTGGGGCGAAGAAAATACTCCCGAAGGTGTTCAGAAGTATTGGGTAAGTATTACAGAAAGAAAGAAAAATACAATATGATCTGCCTCATTCCCCCAAAATCGCATAATATTGAGATTTCTGGCAGCAATTTATTAAATACATATGTAGTCTGTTTCAAAGCCAATTTGGTTACAGAAAACGAGAATGTTATTTGAACATTTTTATACTTGTGGAGTGACATGTTATCTATTAATTAAATGGTAGATAAATTGGAAAGAAATATTTTATTGACGTTATTTCCATCAAGGCTTTTGCTACACCGATATATTTTTTCATAATATTTTAAACATTTCATAATAGTGAGACCATTCCAAAAACCACCACTGCCAAATATTGTGTAACAATAAACTTACAGTTTACTTTTATTTAATGTTCCGATATTATTAGAAAATGAAAGAAGAGAATTATAAGTACATTGAACAAATAAATAAACAGAAGAAAAAATATTCCTTGCTTTGAAAAAATGTCGGGTATGTGTTACTTTACTGTAAATATTTTAAGCTAATTCGAATTAATTTTAAATTTTTACCTGTAACTATTATATTTTTTATGGAAGGTTGGCTGACAACAAATATACAGGCTGTTTCAGAAAGACCTCCCGTAAATACAGGAGTACGACAAAAAATAAGAATTTTTTGTCGTATGAACTATAATGTGTATCCCCTCTTGTTTTCGAGATACAGAGCGACAAAATATAATTTTTTAAATAGAATTTTTACGAAAATTTCCAAACGGTGCTAAATATTTTTATGAAATTTGGTATTCCGCGATTTTTAAGGATGCCAAATACGCTGGTCTAATTATTTTTTGTATATTTCATAGAGGGTGCTAGTTATGCTACATCCGTATTACATTTTAAGTTCTAATTTTTTTGAGGTTAGGTTTTTACCATTCGGGCTCCAATTTCTAATGTACAATTTTATTTTCTAAAAATAATGTACTGTAATGTAATGTTCATAAGACAAAAAATTCTTATTTTTTGTCGTACTACCACCCTCTGTATTTACAGGAGGTCTTTTTGAAGCAGCTTGTATAGCTTAACGAGTTTTGTTTCTAGTAATAATATGAACAATAAAAAATTTCTGCTTATGCGCAGGTACATACATTGGGAAAAGGGAAAGTAGATTATAATTGCAAATATTACATAATTATATCAGTAGATTTCGAACGGTCGTTCTTTTCAGACTAAGATATTTTATCACCGCCGCGAATAAGTTTCGCTGAAACAAGGGTAGTAACATACTTAATGATGCGATCTATAACGGATCCCATCCAGATTGTGGAACCGATGGCAACATTGTGTGTATAACAATTTACGTGTTTCACAATGATGCAATGGCACAAATCTTCACCTTGTTTTATGTTGTTGATCTGCACGCCTCTGGTGCGAGGCCAATTGTGACAGCTCTATAAGTAGGATCATATTCGATGCAAAGTAATAAATCATTGCCTATCAAGGGAATCAGTGCAACACATTTTAGGGAGGTTTTGGAAATTGAATAATTTTTTTATGTATTATGAATTAATAGTATATATTTATGAAGAACAAAATGAAAAACAAAGGCATCTCCTTCGCACATTGGGCGGCAGGGCAACAATACATTTATTACTTCTTTCATCCTCCCTCATATGACTTGTCTTGTGTNAGGGTGCTAGTTATGCTACATTCGTATTACATTTTAAGTTCTAATTTTTTTGAGGTTAGGTTTTTTACCATTCGGGCTCCAATTTCTAATGTACAATTTTATTTTCTAAAAATAATGTACTGTAATGTAATGTTCATAAGACAAAAAATTCTTATTTTTTGTCGTACTACCACCCTCTGTATTTACAGGTCTTTTTGAAGCAGCCTGTATAGCTTAACGAGTTTTGTTTCTAGTAATAATATGAACAATAAAAAATTTCTGCATATGCGCAGGTACATACATTGGGAAAAGGGAAAGTAGATTATAATTGCAAATATTACATAATTATATCAGCAGATTTCGAACGGTCGTTCTTTTCAGACTAAGATATTTTATCACCGCCGCGAATAAGTTTCGCTGAAACAAGGGTAGAAACATACTTAATAATGCGATCTATAACGGATCCCATTCAGATTGTGGAACCGATGGCAACATTGTGTGTATAACAATTTACGTGTTTCACAATGATGCAATGGCACAAATCTTATAATCATTGTTCACTAGGGTTTGCAATCCCGCAGTCTTTTTTTTCCAGCTGGAAATTTGCGGTAAATTCGCCTTTACAGCGGGATCCCGCTGTAATCCCGCTGTAATTCCCGCGAGAGATTTAAAAATATATTTATATATGAAAATAATAATGCTATTATTGAGGATATTTAATCAAATGAAATATGTATAAATAATTCTTGGTATTTAAAAATCAACAGATAAGCATTATATACATTAAAAACTATGTTTATTAACTAAGAATCAACAGAAAACAACACATCAATAATATATTACTTTTGTTATTTTTACATGGATATTCTTATGTCTCTAGTTACTTAACGTACTTGTTGCTGTTAAAAATTACTAAATTTATAAACATCTAGGTTAGGTTAGTAATTTAATCGTAGTAGCAATTTCTAAAAAAATATTTGCTAGATACATCGATAATAATATACTGCCCTACTTCGGAATATGACAGTTTAGAGAAAATTGTAGAGATATTAGGCATACTTCGTTCGGCTGTCATTCATTTACTAATTAAGGTTATTACCTTAATTAGTAAATCAAGTTATTACTTGATTTTTTCGGTAACGGCAATTGAAAACAAATATTTTTTAATGTTTATAAAGAATGTTAGAAAACATTGCAATTTCAATAAAAACAGCGTCGAAAATGTTGTTTTGTCTTAATAAATTTAAGATTTTGCTAGGTAAAAATGTATGTGCAGTATGTGCTACATTGTCAATAGAAATTAATAGAAGAACCAGAACATGTACACCCTATACATAATATTTTGGACGTTTTTATATTTTGTGGCAAATAATATTTAATTGTTGTTTAATTTAAAACAACGCATGTAAACACATACGAATATAATTTGTTTAAAACATCGTATTTCAACGCTTCTGCTAGAGAAGAAAGCCGTATGTGGTCACATGCGGCGTTTATACTATACCCCTTAATGAAATACACGCACATAAGTCTGCTAAGTGACACAATATTAAAAATTTAAAATGTACAAATTTTTAAATTTAAAGAAACAAAACGATATTTTTGATATTTATAGATGGGTAATGTATAATGCGATATAGATTTCAAAAATGTAATTATCTCAATTTGTTACGAAACCGCATGTACGGTCCTTTTCCTAAGTAGAGCTGTATAGTATAATTAAAGTAACATACAAGAAGACTAAACTATTAGTTACATATAAAATTTCACTTTGTAAACACTTTTTTTCTTGAAAATAAACAAACGAATCAAGAAATTTGTTTGAATGATGCAAAGATCTGCCGATTTTAATCCTTTCCTTCGCTCGATTGATCGATGCTGTCGCAGGGCAACGGGATGCGCACGCAAACCAAACGAGGCGCTAAACGGACGTGTTTTATTAAAAAATTTCCCGCGCGGGAATTACCGCACAAATGCGGGAATTCCGCAGGTCTCATTGACATGCGGGAAATTGCTGGAATGCTGTAACGCGGAATGCGGGATTGCAAACCCTATTGTTCACCTTGTTTTATGTTGTTGATCTGCACGCCTCTGGTGCGAGGCCAATTGTGACAGCTCTATAACTAGAATAAATCATTGCCTGTCAAGGGAATCAGTGCAACACATTTTAGGGGGTTTTGGAAATTGAATAATTTTTTTTGCATTACGAATTAATAGTATATATTTATGAAGAACAAAATGAAAAACAAAGGCATCTCCTTCGCACATTGGGCGGCAGGGCAACAATACATTTATTACTTCTTTCATCCTCCCTCATATGACTTGTCTTCGTTTCGGTTGTATTGGTGCTGCGTGTTTCTCGCTCGCTATATTTGTTATAAGTGCAATTATATTTCGTTCGGGCTGTATGTGTGTTTCGCGCTATTATTTGAGAATTTGTGAGTGAAATCATATTTCTTGTGCTCCGTAACAAAAATGTTTTTAGTGTTTTATTTGTGTGCTGTGAGTGTGTTTCGGGCAGTTGTTTGTGAATCGTGAATGCTATTATATTTTCTGTGCTAGTGAAGTGAAGTTTTTTGTATTATTATTGCTCTGTTGTCATTATATGGAGAAATGGAGGCGGTGCCTGGATGTTCGCAAGCCGGATGTACTGCTGTGGGTTCAAAAAAATATGTATTAAGTTACAGAGAAAAAACGATAATATTAAATGTCTATAACGCTTTAGAAAAGGATCATCCCATGAAACTGAAGACTGGTTTGGTGGAAATGTGTTCTAGACATACTGGAGTAAGCGAATCATCTGTTTTCAAAATTTTAAGAGAGAGGAAAAATGAAGGAGACGTTAAGAAACCTAAAAAAGGGGGGGTGGAAAGAAGAAATTAATATTAAATAAAGATGAGAAAAGTGCAGTTTATGCAGTACAGCATATAAATCATAGAATTTATATTTTGTTTATAATTTGTTAATATTTCTTGTTTGATAGAAAAATAACTTATTTTGTTGAGATTGGTAGAGAATTGTTGTTAGTGTTTTCATTTGATAGAATCATATCATAGGATTTATATTTTGTTTTCATTCTGTAAATATTTATAGTATATCTGTTATATGAGGTTTTTGCTTTGAAACTTCGTTCTCCTTATAAAAAAAGAATCGTAATGGGGTGCGATGAAGAGATCAGTTCACGTCTGGAACCCTGTTCCTACAAAAATCCCTTTATTCTCATAAACTATTTGTTTTAAATGTAATTTATTATAAATCCAATTCGTTATTTAAATTCCACATATGTACTACATTTCACCTTTGTACGCGCCACTGTTTATTGTTCCCTGCTCTACGCTCAAGTTCGCCAGGTTAGTATTTGACGTATAACCGACCACTTCGAACACTCGATGCACCTGGCCGACTACAGCTAGTACCAGAACACAGTGCGTATGTGGCGGTGTTTCAGATTTTACATTCAATTTCATTTTATATTTGAAACGGTTCATCTTACGCCTCCTAAAAATGATGACACGATTTTCCTTTGATAAAAGACCGACAATTTTTTGCTCTACTTTGCATCGAATACGATCCTACTATAATAATAATCAGTCATAGGAACCTCTATCTTTATATTTATGACTAAAGTCACTTCTAAATTGTGTGTTTGGGACCACCGTGTATAATTTAATAATTATTAATATTCAATACCTGTAAAAAGGATTTAATTAATTTATCATGGCTAATTTTCTGTGTTTATTTTTCGAAGTAATATTGTTAGAATTTGAACATAAATGATTACGAGCCACGCGATCGCCGAGTTTAGGCAACCAATATTGCACAGCACTTCTGTCAAGTCAATTGAAAATCCCTAAACCTTAGCGTCACCAATATTAATGATTCTTTTACAATGAACAATGAAAACTGTTGCGTCTATGTTCGAGATCGCTGATTGGTGGAAGAAAATCTCGTAAAAAATGACACCAGTCACCAGCCGGTGAAACAGAATGTTGTATTTTAATGAAATCTTGATCTTATTGTTTTAATTTTACCAATATTGGACTGCCAACGTTAGATATTTGAATTAAATTATAATTAGAAACATGAATATCATATCTCATGACTCCAACATGTTATGTATGTTTTCAGTTAATTATTACAGCACTATTTGTATTTCTTCAGATTTGATGAGATACTAAATTAAAATTGTCAACTCAATGCATTTTAATGTGTTCGATCTATCAATTTCAGAAAGTGGCTAACAGTTGGGGCCCTTACTGGGGAGAGAATGGCTATTTCAGAATATCAAGAGGAAACAACGAATGTGAAATCGAGTCCTTCGTGTTAGCTATATGGCCCCATGTGGATAGGAAGCTTTCCTAATCATCACCAGTAAACGTAGATTAAGAAGAAGAGTGCCATTTTGTAAATTAGAACGAGTCCCGGTACCAACACAAAATTTTGAAGAACTACCTTTTGATATCTTATACAAATTTTTGGTAAAAACTTTACTTAAACTGCCATGTCGATGTGTTCTAGAGAAAGCGCACTGTTGATAAAAGAGGAATATTTATTATTTTGTTATTGATGTAAGTAAACGCTTAGGATATAGAGACATTAATGACGCGATTGTAAGTACTCATGTATTTGTAATTGTAATTTATTATTATATCCATCATATATTTTTTTATGTTTAGATAGCTTTTTATTAATTAGTAAGATTCAATAAACATTTTAAATTAAAGGATTCTTCGTGAACTATCCCGAATTCCATTTTTTTAACCATTGGAGTCCTTATTAGGTTAGTGTTGTTTCATGTTCGTTGGTTTACTTTTCACCCTTCCTACTAGCACAGAGTAAACACGTGTTATTATTGTTCTTGTTACACAAGGAAAGCAGTCAGTTATACAGAGTGATTCAGAATAATGTACCATAACATTCTATGAGCCACACAATTAATTCAATAAATTATACAAAGAGTTTGTATGCTGCAAACCATAAATATTTTTTCAATAGAAGAATAAATTTCTGTGTGAAGAAAAAAATTAGAATTGAAAATTGTAACTATTAATATGTACGTAAAATTGTCGATTTATTTTAAAAAGTGCCTTACAGAATGTACCTCAAAATCCAAAATCAATAAATCCATAGTTCTAGGCAAAAAATTTTACTGCTTAATTTTTAATACCCCTGGATTCAATAGGTATAGACTCCATCAAAGGTAAGGTAAAAGCATCTATTTATGTTCTTTTTTCAATACTCTCATAACTAACAATTCTGATATAATATCTGACACTGGGGTCATAAATATGGAAGACATCTCTGATCATTGCCTTGTTGCTTGTAAATTAAAAATTAATAAAACTAAATTTGATTCTAAATTCATCACGGTTAGAGATTACAATCATTTTCATTACCATCGTTTTATTTATGACTTAAACTCTGTTAATTGGCAAATTCTATATAATTTCGACGATGTTAACGTCATGGTACAGTTCTTCAATGATAACATTCTTAAAATGTTCAATATACAGGCCCCATATAAAACTATTCGTATTACTAAACCCCCTGCACCTTGGTTAACTGATAATGTAAAACTGATGATGAAATTACGTGACAAGTATTTCTTAAAATAGGGGATTTAAAACTGATCGTAACTGGAAGGATTATTATAAAGATATGAGAAATTTTGTTAATCGTTCCATTAAATTAGAAAAGCAGACATATTTTAGGCATATTTACAAATACGATTTAAAAAATTTTTGGCATGGGTTGCGTTATTTAAACATAATATGTTCAAAAAAACGAACATCCACTGAAATGTCATATACTGAAGCAGTGAACAGTTTTTTGTAAACCAGTCATCTAATCTCGCTGACAGCATCGGTAACTTTTATTTAGAAATCTTGAACAAATATGTCGACGGTAAGCATCCTAATGCGGTCGCAGATTTCGTGTTTGGTGAAGTTTCTCCTGGCGAAGTTAATGTCATATTACGTGGTCTTTTAAATCCAATGCAGTGGAGTCTGATAATATTAACTTAAATATGATTGATCTAATATTTCCTGATTTAACTATCTATTTCACTTACATCATAAACCCATGGAATTTTTTCCAGACCTTTGGAAAAGAGCAAATGTTTTGCCTGTGCCTAAGGTAAATAATCCTACTGCGCTTAGTCACTTTAGAGTTTAGACCAATTAGTATATTGCTTACTTTATCTAAGGTACTAGAAAAAGTAGTTTATAATCAATTAAATTGATATTTTGTTCACACAGGTATCCTTCCTGCCATTCAGTCCGGTTTTCGTACAAATCATAGTACAATTAGTTCTTTGTTAAATATATCAGATGATATTATCAGACCTAATGATGAAAAGAAAAACACAGTCTTAGTGCTACTAGACTTTAGCAAGGCGTTTGACACTCTGGATCTTGCAATTTTGTGTAGTAAACTTAAATATTTTGGTATTGATGGCGGTGCATTGATGATGATGCAGAACTAGGTACTTACATAACAGATATCAACCGATTGTGCCTCATGGTGCATTTTCCAGTTATAAACCGTTATACGAGTTCCAGAGGGTAGTATTTTAGGTAGTATTTATCTGACTTTAATAGTTTTATAAACTATTCTCAAATACACCACTATGCTGACGACACCCAAATATATTTATCATTCAACCCCAATGAGCTCTGCCATAGATAGTCTTAATTCGGATTTAAAAATAATTGCGGATGTTTCGAAAGCGCATAAGTTGGTGTTGAATGAAAATAAAACTGAAATGTTAATGTTTGCTGCAGGTAAGGACTCCTTAGTTTAAAATAACAATTAATAATAAAATGGTATTGCTTAAACATACATGTAAAATTTTAGCAATTTTCTTTGATTATCAGCTAAGATTCTCTAGTCACGTAAATAATTTAATTAATAGGTCATATGGTAAATTAAAAATGTTATACTTGCATAAAGATTTGCTTGATCCGGGTGTCAAATTAAAGATGTGATTTATTTTGTCTACTCTTGCCTATGGTGACATACTATATTGGCCTGCTCGCAAAGAGACTACTCAAGCTTACAAAAGATTCAGAATTGTTGCATACGCTACTGCTATAAATTAAGGAAATTTGATCATATATCTGAAAAATTTTTAGAATCGGCTTGGCTCATTTTGAATGAAAGATTCTTTCTGCACTTATACTGTTTTACTTAAAAGTTGGTTATATATCGTGAACCATCCTACTTATTTGTCAAATTAGTTAAAGGTTCTCGTATACATTTCCATAATATTCGCCGCAAATCCCTGTTCTCTGTCCCCAAGCATCGAACCTCTTAATTTCAGAGGTCAATTTCGTACAATTGTATTAAACAGTTTAATAAACTTCCAAAGGACATTACGTTTGTACCCAGTATATTTACGTTTCGTAAAAGTGTAAAAAAGTACTTAATTTCTAAGAGACTGTAGAATATATATTTTTGTATTTTTTGTATTAATATTATTATTACTATTATTTTGTATTAATTCAGTTTTTTGATTGTTAATTAATTGTACGGTAGCGTTTCTTCTTTGTAATTATGTTTAAAATGTATGGTTCCGTGGAAGAGCGAGTAATCGAACGCCGCCATTTACCTTGAAAATACTATTTTCTATAAATTTGCTAATTTATAAAGACTAATAAAGGCGATATTTATTTATTTATTTATTTAATAATAAGAAAAATAGTTTCATCTGAACATCCAGATATATTAATATCGAAATTAAACGATATATTTGCAGGGTGTTTTATCTACTGACACAGAACATGCAATCTTAACATATGCCGATTTATGTAAAAATTTTTTCTGGTATGTACCGTTGAAGAAATAATGGCCTCTGAAGATGACTGTTAAATTTTGAAAAACAATAATATTTTAGCAATGCCTTAACTAGAGCAACCAAATTAGCTACATGATTTACGTTTATTGTTATCTTTAATTGGTAAAAATATGAATTTGTTGAAAGCGCAATAAGGGGTAGGGCGTCCTTAAAATGATATCGATTTTTTTATCAGTATGCCAATTATTAAAAAGTTTTACCAGTGTTAAAGGAAATTTAATTTTAAATTTTTTACCTCTTAAAAATTTTTCGAAAAATAACAGTTTTTGAGAAAATCGGGATTTTGTGAAACAGCGTCATTACTAAATTGAATCGGACAAAAAGTGAAGTATGCAGTTTTACAACTAGAAACGAAGATTCTTCTAGCTTTGGCTAACCTTCAAAAATATTACCATTTTCGTTAATAACTCCTGGCAACAGAACAGAAATTAGCTTCATTTATTTCCGCTACCGCTTCATGAATCCTGCCAATAACATCATCTTCGCCAACAGGCACAGTAAAATAAACCTTTTCTTTTACGTATTCCCATAACCAAAAGTCTGTCGGAGTCAAGTCAGGAGACCGGGGATGCCATGGTGTTGGTCCACCCCGTCTAATCCATTTATTAGGAAAACGGCGGTTCAAAATATGTCGTACCTGTAACGTGGCATATGCGAACGCACCATCATGCTGAAACCACATAGTTGCACGTTGTTGCAGAGCAATATCTTCTAACAAACCTGGTAAAATGTTCTCGCAAAAATTACTGTAATTTTCGCCAAAAAATATAGACCTTTGATCCCTATCCCGTAAATACCTATCCAAATATTTACAGACCAACGTCTTTGCTGATTCCGCTGACGTTTTTCATGACGATTCTCATAATGCCAATAATGAAGGATCTGGTGATTGAAAACTTCTTGTTGGTTGAAGTGAGCTTCATCGGTAAATAAAACATTATAGAAAAAATCTGGATTGCGCTGAAATTCTTGTAATGCGGGATGCAGCGTTTGAATTGGCTCTGCATGATACGGATACAAGCTGTACCTTTGAAGACATCTATGGACAGTGGATTGAACATGATGCCTGTTTCTTGATAATAAGCGTGTACTGTTGTTACTTCCTGTTGCCATGTCAATTTTCGAGGCTGACCGGCATACAAAGAACGTTTTGGTGCTATGCATCCTGTTTCCACAGTACGTATTTCTACATTTTAGATTGTTTTGTGATCGGGATGATGGCGATTCGGAAATTGTTCCCTTTACAAACGCTTGGCAGCACGGGCGTTATTGTTATTACAAGCTCCTAAAGCTTTAATCATATCGACATATTTTCTGTTGGTATAAGCAAACCCTGCCATTTTGAACTCAACAACAAATACTAAAAGTCAAATACGTCACTGTCAAGTAAATCCGTGTCAACAAGATTTTTGTCCAGCCAACTTGATTAGCCAGTCGAAAATTGCGCATTTATTGAACTAAAATTAATAATAATTTATTCAAAAACGGCTCCGCTTTCGAGATTTTAGTATTCTACGGCCTCTGGGGAGTAAATTTTGACTTACCCTGTATATATCCAAACCAGAAACAAGGCAATTTTGAGTTAGTTTTTTATAATTTACAAGTTTAAGACATAGCTGAATAAATCGGAAACAACTCTAAATCTATTGGTTTCACAAAAAAAAACAATGTTAGAAATACAATTAATTTTCAGTTCAATGTAACCATCAGTAATCAAAAGAATATTATATATAAAAGCATTATTAAGTACATCCATTTGAGTTTTTATTAACGACTGCTTATTTAAAACTTACATTAAATTTTGTAGAAAATAAAACTGGAAAATAGTAGTAAATTTATTATTAACAGTATCCGCTTATAATTCACCAGTACGAATGATTTTAATTAGTCCCTCGGTGTTATTAGTTTCTATAACATTCCGACAATGACTGATCATAATAGACGACCTCTGCCCAACTAAAATTAATAAATGTCAGTATCGGTATCAGTTAAATTATTAACAGATACATACATATATGAACTATTAAATTTTTACTCATCCAATGAATACAATTACAGCCAAATTTGGATACGTACCTCGTAATCTAGAGGCCTTTTGAATGATTGCATTAATTTTTTTCATAGTTTCTACGCCTTCATTATAGTTTTGCAATCTTATATTGTACCCATTTATGAGCTCCTTATTGACAGTGTTCAGCTCATTGTAATACACAGGCATCTCTTTTCTGAAACCAATAAAAAACTTTTAAAAATAATTCGGTTTCTTATTTAAAATTGTTTGTTATATGTAGAGCTGTCACAATCGGTCCGCTAGCCATTGGCACCGGAGCCGTCATGAAAGCCACGCGATCTGCCTAGCTGTCGGTTTAGTCGCTGATTTCCCTGTAATCGAACGATTTAGTGCTAAAAAACAACAAACAATTCATGCTATGCTGTCTAAAAAAAAATACAAATTTACCGGTAAGTAGCTATGTTATGATGATGTATGATTTTTTAGTTTTTTTTATAAAATTAGTAAAAAAAGCAAGTAATAAATTATGTACTCAGGTCAGCATCAGTAGTAAATTTGTCTAACAAACCAAGTTTAAAATAAATATTAATAAACAATTAAAAAAACACGTATAAAAAAAATTAGCGAAAACCAGAACTCAATTTATGTTTGATTTAATCTTCATACTGATCGCATGTAACCTACCATTTTTTATAGTAAATAATAAAACAATTCATTCGTACTGGTATAAATATAACTCCGAGTTGAAATTACCATGTTGGACCAGCTTGGAAGTAGATTACTTAATTATGCAAATATTATATCAGTAGATGTGAAACGATCGTTCTCTTTTGCTGAAACAAAGGTAGGAACATACCTGATGATGCGATCTATAACGGATCCCATCCAGATTGTGGAACCGATGGCAACGACGCGTAAAACAATTTACGTATTTCACAATGCTACAATAACAAATCTTATAATCATTGTTTACTTTAAGGTGGCTGATCCGCACGCCTTTGGTGCGCGGCAAATTATGACAGCTCTAGTTACATGTATTATTTCATCCAAACAAAAGTGATCGCCTTTTTGCTTCAAGCCCAACATCAAAAACTAAACTATTTTAGTCACAATGAAAATAAGATACAATGTATATTTATATAGATTATTATTATTACACATTACCTCTGACATTTGACACATATCTTTGTTCATCATAAGTTTGTTTTCTCAAATTCCGTCATCAAAAGTAATTTGTTTTTAACTTTCTTTCATAATTTTCATACCTCATACCCCGCTGCTGGCCAAACACGCAGAATAACTTATTGTATTGACATTTAGATTCACAAAGTAAACACTGTGCTTTTAAAAAATCGTAACAACTACATTATATTAAAAACTTGAAATAATTTAAAAAATATTATAAATACGGGATGTAAGAAGTTTGACTGTCATTACTTCAGCATGAGATTGAGTAATCATAAATGAACAAAAAAGTTGTATATTACAGGGGCGTAAGATTAACAGTTTTCAAAATACAGCGAGTATTAATATTGGGGAGTTTCATGACAACGTGACAACAGCCAGCGCTTAATTTACTATTACACAGCTAATGCATACCACGTGTGTACGCGGTAAACTTGTCCTACGGAAAAAATGTAAACAACTACATATTATTGCGAAACATTTAGTAAATTTCAAAACAATTGTTTTCCAGTTTTTAAATAAATAAAATAAAATGTATCGATTTTGTAGTACGAAGATACCTAGTGTTGTGCTTAAATTTTAGCTCGAATTTTAGTAATTATGAATCTCTTAAAACAGGAACTTAACTTTTAATCAAATTATGAATTTGAAAAATATGTAATTAAAGTACTCAATGATTCACGTCGTCCAGATAATCATACGTATTAAAAACAATTTAGGTACTTACCAAAAAGCAAAATTCAGTAATTTTTAAACGCACAAGTATAAAACAAACTACATCATATGCTCAAAATGTCCACCACTATTTTCTATGCACGCATGACATCTTCGAATCCAATATTTGCGCACTCGCTGGAAAACACCTCAAAAACAGAAAATAGCGGTACGCAGAAAACAGTCCGATACGGCCGAATTCCAGATACCAACTGAATTGTGTAATTGTGGACAGGTTAGTACCTCGTGTTAATCGTCGCGTCGTTGTCACATTGCTCGATATGAATTTTATCGAATTTTAAATTTATTACAACTTTTATTTTTTAGAATTAAGGATAAAGAAGTTCAGAAAAGTGATAAACATTGTATTTTATGGTATTCTATGCACGCAGTTCTGTCAATATTCCTTAATTAATCGAACTTTTGTACATCAAGTTGAAGATTTTGATAATTTTTTTCTCGGTAATGGTTGAGTTTGGAACTCATGTCACATAAGGTTTTCTTGTTTATTTTAATGTATTCTGTCGTCTGTTAAAATTAAGGTAGTCAAACTTCTAACACCCTGTATATCAGATTAGTAGTTTTATTTAGTATTTATTTGGTTTTATAAAATTAATTCTATTCTGCAGAAGGCTAAAAAACTGATCCCTACTAAAGTTACATCCCATATTATGAATAAAGAGTACAATTTTTATTAAAGAACTACTGCCATCTTTCTTTTTTTATATTTCTATGCAAGGTTTCATCCTTTATTTATCATTATTTTCACTGCAGATGCAAATAAAATTTTTAATAATATGGGTTTTACTTACATATCATTCAGTCTACTGTCTTCTGCTCTTATAATAAGATTCCTAATTTGTCCCAACCTATCAGCCACATCTGTGCTTAATCTCAGCCGAGCATCCTGTATGTCAGTCAGCTTCTCCATCAATGCCTTCAGATTTTGTTCCTCATTTGGAAATGAAGCTCTCGACTCCAAATTATCAATATTCAAATAAACCGCCAACGACTGCACAAGATCAGCAGCCAAAAACATGTTGTTAGTGTAAATGGTTACTTTACCAGATATTTCAAACATCATCACCAAGGGAGAATCGTCTCGTAGGCATTTCAAGTTCAGAGTCAGATTGGGACCTGAGTCAAATTCAACGTCAGAGGGGAACAGAAAGTTTTGATTGATCCACATGCATATCCTCTGCAGACGGTCATTCACTTTGAAGTGTACAGAACCCTCTGGTTTAACTTGTTCGCTGATTTCTTTAAGGGCATACATGGAAAAACGCGGGAGTTGTCTGGTTATCTCGAAGACGTGGAACTGGATACTATTCGGATATCCAACTAAAGCCTTTAAGAAAGTAAACTTATATTAATTTAGAACTATTTAGAGCTTAAATAACATAAACTGTTTACAGAAAAGATTGAACTAATTGTATGTTTCAGATTTTAACATTGAGAATGTTTAAACAATCAGTAGTGTTAGGAAAATATATATGTGTAAAGGGGCGTATAAACTTTCAAAGCTACGCTGGGTGTAGGAATGGTTCGATCGAAGTGATCTTGGTCTTTGTGTAGATTGGAACTTTCTGCGTTAAATAGAAGTAATCCGTTCTACCGAGATCAGCGAAGCGAAAGTCTGCGCTCCTTGAAAGTAAAAAAAAAAACAATTTCTGAAATATAATCCACTAGCGTTTCATTCAATGAGCTTCTTTCTAAAGGGAATCCAAGAAAGTAGACAAACGGATTAAGTGTTTGGCAAAACAGGGTGATGTTGTCAAAACATAGAACAGAAACAATTCTTGAATGTTATTTAAGCTCCTTCTCTAATACAATTCTATGTTAGGAAACGGTATCTACAATATTAATGAATAATTAACCTTAATGTGTATGTCCACAGGATTATCCTTAGGCAATGTCAGCGGTATCGACAGCTCTGAGCTCAATTTGGACAGAGGTGGATGAACCACGTGTGTCTCACCTTTAAAAATGCCTTCAGCAAAAATTATCACTGACTTTATTATGGTGGAGTTGTTGGTCGATATGTAGACCTCAATATGAGGCTAAAATAAGATTTTTTATATTAACGTAATCTGAACACTCTCTTTCATGAGAATAAAACAGACATTTGTAAATCGCATAGGAGAAACGTTGTACAAATGTAATAATTAACTAATTCTACATACCTTGGTAGCAGCATCATTAGTATTAATAGCAATTTGCAATCGTGTGCAAGCTGGTATTACGCCACTATTTTCATAACTTTCAGTTTCATTGACAGCATTTTCGTTGTATTTCATATTGTTTTCGTAGTGTTTCAGTTCCATAATTAGTGACTGTTTTTGAGCTAGAAGCTCTCTTACTATATCTTGTTCATTTCCAGAACCATCTACACTACTAGACAAGGTTTTTGTAGTTGTGTAACCACGAACTAAAATATTATTATGACAATAACAAATAGTAGAATAGTAAAATTACACACTTAGCACGAAAAGTGATATACCTAGATACAGTTTTACATAATGTACGATTATTTAATTTATTATTAATGAGTTTTCAATAATGAATATGATATGAAATTACCTTCTCCTTCGCTGGCGACGCAGATAATGTCTGCCTTCCCTATGGACCTGTAATCTCCCTCAACAATACCCGAAATACCGGAACTCATGGAATCTTTGAACAGTACTTCTCCTGTTTTAATAGCCCTGCAATCAATTTTGCCATTCGACCATCCTGTTATCAACTGCATCGAAGACTGACCCAATAAATCGTATGCACGCATGTCTATAGCGAAATTTTTTGACTAAAATGTAACAATAATAATTCTTCTAGCAACAAACACTTGATTGTGATCATTTTGCTTTACCTTAACTCTCCACAACCTTACATCTTGTTCGTACACACCAAGGGTCCCGTTTGAAACCGAATAAGCAAATCGATTTTCTGGTAAAACCATCAAATTTGTCACCACTTCTGTTTCAACATGTTCAGCTATGACTTGGTCTCCCTTGAACACTCGAATGTAGAAGTCTTCTGAACTTACAACTAACTAAAAATACACTGGTTGTACTTTGATTATTATAAAAATAATCAATGGGTACCTCGTTTAACCCATCTTTGTTATAGTCTATTAATATCATAGATGTGACAATGTCTCCGATTGCAGTCCAGAATACTTCGTTTCCTGTATGGTCGTAACCACGAACTGAAGAGTTTCCTCCTACCAGGACAATAGGTGACTTACTATCTCCAAACGATCCAATAGTGACAGATTTGATTCCATCTTCACAATCTTTATAAAAGACGTCTTTGTTATCATGGACGTGATACACAAGTATGTGAGTGCTTGTACCTGAAAGTAATAGTGACACAAAAAGTAAATAAAGTAAATAAAAATAATTATAGTTAAGTTTTCTTATAGGACCATAAGTTACACTTTCGGCGAATATAGGGATAAGATTGTCTACCTATAACTAAAATATCTTTCTCATCATTTGGTAGCAACTGTCCGGTGGTTAATGATGTTATGGTATGATTGATATGTAACGTTGCAAGTTCCCTGTTACTTTCCGATTGTTGTAACCTGCCAGAGCTCGAAGTGTTCCTCCTATGAGGGCTATGTATAAGAACCTAAAAGTAAGAATTGTTAAACAAATTTGGTTTGGAATATACTTNGGTCGTAACCACGAACTGAAGAGTTTCCTCCTACCAGGACAATAGGTGACTTACTATCTCCAAACGATCCAATAGTGACAGATTTGATTCCATCTTCACAATCTTTATAAAAGACGTCTTTGTTATCATGGACGTGATACACAAGTATGTGAGTGCTTGTACCTGAAAGTAATAGGGACACAAAAAGTAAATAAAGCAAATAACAATAATAATTATAGTTAAGACTTTCTTGTAGGACCACAAGTTACACTTTCGGATAAGATTGTCTACCTATAACTAAAATATCTTTCTCATCATTTGGTAGCAACTGTCCGGTGGTTAATGATGTTATGGTATGATTGATATTTAACGTTGCAAGTTCTCTGTTACTTTCCGATTGTTGTAACCTTCCAGAGCTAGAAGTGTTCCTCCTATGGGGGCTATGTATAAGAACCTAAAAGTAAGAATCGTTAAACAAATTTGGTTTGGAATATACTTAAGGTTCTCATCGTACAATTCTATTTCTAATTATTTTCACAAAGTAATATGACGGTTTTTGAACATTTTTTTTTTCAGGTACACATTGTACACAGCCTTGATAAATGTTTAGAAGTCACGTGACCGCCGAGCTTAGGCGACCCAACATTGCACGATTGGTACTGGCAACAAAAATTCCATAGATGTTGGCGTCACTAATATTATCGTTTACAATGACCAATGACAAACTGTTTTCTTTACGTTGGAGATAATATAATCGCTGATTGATTGAATAGAAAGGAAATAAAATTATTGTTCCAAACAAAATTTCTGATCACGTGGCTTCTAAAGTAGGATCGTATTCGATGCAAAGTAGAGCAAAAAATTGTCGGTCTTTTATCGAGGAAAATCGTGTCATCATATTTAGGAGGCAAAATAAAATTGAATGTAAAATCTGAAATACCACTGCATACGCATTGTGTTCTGGTAGTAGCTGTAGTCATCCAGGTGCATCGAGTTTGCGAAATGGTTGGTTATATGTCAAATACTAACCTGGCGAGCTTGGTCGTAAATCAGAGACTGCCTCCAAAAAACAAGTAAATAGTGGTGCGTACAGAGGTAAAATGTGGATGATATGTGGAATTTAAAAAACAAATTGGATTTATAATAAATTACATTTAAAATAAATAGTTTATGAAAATAAAGGATTTTTTATAGGAACAGGGTGCCAGACGTGAACTGATCCCTTTATCCCTTCATAATGCATAAATAAATTTTTACACCCCTTATAACCGTACTGCACTGGATCCCTGGACAAGCAATGATTTATTACTTTGCATCGAATATGATCCTACTGTAGTCACTTATTAAGTCTCTGTAGCAGATAATGATCTAACATTTAAAATAAAAATAGACATCTTGAATGTTTATTTTTATATTTTTAATAAGTAAATTCAGTTTACTTTATTGTTTTCAGTGATTTAAACTGACCTTATCTGTAGTAGTAGCTGCAGTAACACAGGGATGTGTGCCATCATATTTACCCAATGTAACTAGGCCTGGCACAATTTTATAATTCAATTCTAAGGTGAAAACAGGTCTTACGAGCTTATCCATTGAGCATACTGACTAGTTCGAAAACATACCTTTTAAATACAAACAACTGGGTTGCTAAGAAGATATTGATTCAGTTCTAATTTAACTCAAGTAAAAGCAGCCAACAAAATATTTTTTTGACACCACTTTTTTACAATTACCAATCAATTAATTTAAGATCTGTTTTATATTATTTTTTACCTAATATTTTCTGAATTAAAAGGAGTATCTTCATAAATTCGAATTAGAGAAGCATCGTCACATCTACCTTTAATATGTAGGTTTCTGTTTTAAATTGTTAGTATGTCCTTGTTCAAATATAATTTTCAAGAAGGAATATGCAGAATGTTTAATAATAATAATAATTAATTATACCCATTTAACAGATATGATATTTTTACCAAAAAGTATCATGTGAACGTGGGTGGTAGTTCGTTTCGTTTACAAGATATAGGGTGTTGAAATCATAAAAAATATACAGTATGTCCACAGAAAGGGTGTTGAATAGGTAAAATTTTCTTATTTTTAATTTTATCGGAAAAAGTACCTCTTGATAAAATATTTTGCTGGTTCATAAAGTAAGATTGGAATGGAAAAAATTAACATTTCTTGTACGGGGTGTTCAAAAAATTGAAAAAACTTTTAATTGTTCCAGGGTTAAGTTCGGTTATTTTTTTTCTCTTTTTCCCTTTTAAACTTTTTTAATTTTTCTATCCCAGTCTTACTTTAAGAAGCAGCAACATTTTTTTTCAGGGGTAACTTTTTTCGATAAAAAGAAAAATAAGAAAGTTTTTCCTGTTCAACATATTTTCTGTGGACATACTGTATATCAGACGTTCCGAAATATTTAAAGATGTTTGTTATAGGGTGATGAAACTTGAGCAACCGATTTATCTAATCAATGGTCAATTAATTGAATTACTAAGGAAAAATTTCTCTTATATTTAGCTCGAAGAACGAACTAATTTATAGTTCTGATTTTTTTATATTAAGGCTAGCTAACTACACAGTTCAGTAGATCTAAAATAATTATTCCTTACATAAAAATAATTTATAAGAAATTTGTTAGAAAGAGAATGTGTCAAAATTTCAAGAAATTGTTGAGGTAGAAATTGTTAATTTTGTAAGGAACTAGCTCCTAAAAAATATCAAAATTTCTACGCCAATGATTTTTGAACTTTGAATCATTACGTTATATTTAGAAGTGCATTTCTAACAAAAAATTCTCTTACACTATTTTCTGGAAGGAATAGTCTTAGAGTTATTTTAAACAAGCTCATTTTAATATTTATAAAAAGATCAGAGCTCTAAATCGGCTTGTTCTTCGAGCAAAATGTAGGAGACGATTTTCTCAGAAATTGGCATTCTGATACTCAATACTCATTGGCATCGAAATTCTGAGGCTCCTATTGGTACTGACCACTGGAATTTCCGCCTATGATTAGAATATTTTTAGTCAACTTTGTGGGTATTTACTTCCACGTAGGTAAATAGTGGCCCAAGTTTTATCAGCCTATATTTTTATCTAATTTCAATACCCTGCATCTTGAAAAAGAGCTTTGACTCACGTACAGATGAAACTTTTTGTTTAGAATACTGGTGTACCTATATTGAGACATAATAGTAAAAAGTAAAATACACTAGGTACATTTTTAAATTATTTTTATTATTTAACTTATATTTTACAACAGTCTATCTTCATTGCACTACATTAAATGCTATAATTCGTGCTGCCATATTTATAGCTGAGATTCAAAATGATTTAAATTGAACATGAAAATAATTAATGTTTTACAAAAAATATTTTCACATAATCAAGATCCGTACAGAATCAAAGTATATTGTTATTTTTTATATAGCTTGTCCCATTTTAATCGATCATTCCGAATAACTTTGCAGGATGACCTCCAATTGAAAAACTGAACAAAAGTTGTAAGGTTTTAAAGGCGCCGTACGATAATGACCTTGCTATTGACCCAGAGGTCAAACTTAGGGGTCATTTGGAGGTGAACTTCATAATTTCAAAGAAACCTCATTTGTTCTATGGACATGGAAACAACAGGAAATTTTACACTGTAAAAAAAAATCGGTATGAGTGAAAGCAATAAAGATTCGGAGTGAATCAATTGAGTTAAATTATTGAGTACATTTTCACTCAATATTGGGTATTTTGATCATTTTACTCATTTGTGATTTATTTAAACTAAAACTGAGTACTTTCACTAAAATATAGGTACTACTTAAATAAATTCTTCACGTACTCATATTTGGTGCACTTGTACCTAAATCAGAGTAAATGTCCCACCCTTTTTCATATCCAGATGCATTGTCTTTGTCTGTTCCCATCGTCCCATTAGGCTATCTCGTAACTGTGGCGTGGTGAATGGGAGTATGGTGTATGGTGTGCTTTGGAGTTGGTTTATCTGGTTATTCTAGTATAAACGGACAGTTAAATTTTCATGTATAAATACGTACGTATTCGTTACGTATAAAATAGGTTATGGCAATTTATTTATTCGATCAATGAACCAATCGGGACCTAAATTATTGTTCCTAAAACAAATATGTGTTGAAACCACTATGACTATGATTTAGTAGTTTATGACAATGATATTTAAATTAAAATTTCAATAAAATATAAAGTGGTGCAAAATCACTCCAAACGTTAATAATATGGAAGCATTTATTAAATAAATTGTACACATTAGTAGACATAATTTCAAATAACATGGCTTTTACCCAAAAATTATATAAATTTAATAAATTACAAAAAGTTATTACAAAATACCGATTTTCATCTCTTAACTTCAAGGGTTAATATATACTAAATGTAGATTTGATACATTATTTTTACAATATCTCTCCTAATTTGAAAGTTCATCCTTTTCTATATAGCGTCTAATTAATTTCAGCACTGTATATCCTAAGTAATCATTTATGAGTGATTTATTTTTGCACTCAATTAATTAAAAACCAAGTCTGAGTAAAAAATGACTCAATAATAGTTAAATTTAAATCATATTAGAGAAAAAGTCAACTCTAAATTCAGCGGTCGATAGCCGTACGGTTTAAGGCGTCAGTACTTAAATCGATGTGTGCTATCTGCCCGGGTTTCGAATCCCGCGGCCGGTAGACCGTAGATTAGCTNTTATGCCAAACGATAGGTCGATAGCCGCACGGTTTAAGGCGTCAGTACTTAAATCGATGTGTCGATCTGCCCGGGTTTCGAATCCCGCGGCCGGTAGACTGTAGATTAGCTATGCTTGTACGGAGGATTGGCACCCTCTGTGCAGGTATGGTAGGGTGGAAGAATGTTGGCTTGGGTCAATGTGAGAGATTGACACCGGTTGGCATTTGACCACTCCCCTAATTAATGAGGTTTTCCAGGTTTCCCTCATTCCTGCACTGAATGGTGGTTAGGGCTTACCAACATAAGTCGTTCCTGGGCGCAAATGCGGCCTGCTTAATAATAATATGCCGCCTCCTCTCCCGCCAAGTCTCCTACTTCTGTGCTAATTCTCGTGGTTAGAATGAGGAGTAGAGATATTATAAATTGGTTTTATATACTCAGAATAGAGTCAAAATTCAATCAATTGATAGTTAGCAGCAACTCGGATTTGAGTAAAACTCATTCATTTCTGATGCAAGTTTCACTCAGTTGTACTCATACTAATAGAGTGAAAATTTCACTCAATTGGGTGTAGACAGAAATTGATACATTGTTAAATTGAGTGAAATTTATTTACAGTGTACTTTCAAAGATGTAGCTTTCTGACTGAAATGTTTACATTTTATGGCATAGGTTGATTAATTTTTGTTTTAAATCGTGACTCACATTGAGTCCTGGGGTTAAATTTGGGGGTCATTTAAGGGTTAACTTTGGATTTGGTGTTTCTAGGGGTCCAACTGATGCAGGGCATTTTTGAACATGATTTTTTTTCTTCTTCATCTTTGGATAGAAAGGAAATTATTCGTCTTGATCGATTAAAATAGGACACTCTATATATGGCAGAATTATTATTGTCATTGCGTGTTAGATCAATTAGGTACTTCATTACGCTGGTCACTCATTCATTTATAATTTCAATTTTCCACTAATGATGTCATCGTAAACGTCAGATAATGGGACGTAAGTTGACTTTTTTGCTTCGTAAAAGTACAGGGGATCGGTAATATCGTGTATGTTAAAACCCTTCTTTTGTAGTTCCATTTTCTTTACTTTGAATGTACCCGTCATGGGCAACGCATCCGTGATCCTTAAAAATAAGGGAATAGCGTATCCTGGAATGTGAGATTTGAGACCCTGCGCCAATTCGTTTAAATTTACTGTTCTGTCCTTGTCCACGATGGCTGCCATTCCAGCTCTGCCTTCGCTGCCAGGGACCTAAAATTTTTGTTTGTATTTTAGATGGATTGATCCAATTGAAAAACTGAAGATTTAATTTTACTGTGTTAATGAGTTCAAAAGATTCTTACCTCAACTCCATAAACAACTGAATCATTTAAGCCAACTACTTTGGCTATAACTGCTTCTATTTCATTGGTAGCGACGTTCTCTCCCTTCCATCTAAAAATTGAAACACTTGTTAAAAGTCAAAGTCATTTATGTCAAAGGAAACCTGCCATTCAGTGCGACCAGAATTTAATTCAGTTATGTGGAAACATAACAACACATGCATTTTTTTTTCAGAATTGCCGTTGTCATGTAGAAAATGACACTGACCAAGTAAAATGTACCATTTCATTTCAGTATTTTAAATATTTTTAGATATGTATAAAACTTGTTCGGCTGCAATTAAGATTATCGATGGGAAGAGAGAAAAAATGTTATTTTCATATTGATTAAGCCATGAAAGAACCTTTAAAAAGCCAATTTAGAAATATTTTCCGTTCCGTTCCTGTTATCTAGGGAATGCACGTTTCTGCATTCCATTTATTTATTGTTAGTTAGACAAACACGTCACAAGAAAGGATGGGTTGAGACGTGTACCAGACCAGTGTAAGTATAGTCTTTCCGAAGTCAGTTGAACATGTATAAAAACGCCTAGCAATAAAATTTAATGAGTTTCATAGGCATCCCTAAAAAAGTTTTCTGCTAAAAGTAAACAATTATAATAATTTGTACATAATGTGTAGAAAATTTCTATTATATGTTCATTTGGCCAACAACATACTTTAATTATTTATGTCCTTTAACAATTTTATTATGTTGATGGTAAATTTCGTTTTGTTCCGTTTCAGAAGGTTTCCAAAATGCCATGTTGTATTGATATTGGTAAACAAAATGTCCTATTTATTTCTCCCTTTCGCAATTGTAATATGAATGATTAATAGAAGGTGCCTATAATAAATTAAAATTACCTGAATCACACCAAATTCTGCATTGCTGTACTGCACTGCTAGGCAATTTGTCGACCACTTGTCAACAACTGAGATTTATTGCCCAGTCACCCTGTGTGACTGTTTTATACGTCGTTTGTCTGCGACCAGACCTGTATATGGGTATGGCTAAATAATATGGGAACGTGTTTTTTTAATATTTCAATGCTAAGTTGCTGCGTCAGCAACCTGGTACATACTGGCAACCTCTTGGTTCTTCAATTGAGATCGGAAAGACTATACCTCATAGTATTTTGAACTAACTTTAGCCAGTGACTGGAAAAATATGGTCCACTGTCCAGCCCACTTTTTTATGTGTTATTAAAACGATAAATGTTTGTGTAGGTATATTTCCTGAGCAAAAAAGTATATTATTTCCCGAAGAAAAAGTAAAAAGAGCATGGCAAGTCTGTTCACATTGAAAATAAGTACCAAACCAAAGCGAAGAAAATTGAAATTTGTTCTCATTAGTTATCTTCTGTTTCATTACTGTACTATCTTCGGAGAATTTGAAAGTTACTTTACATAAGCAGTTTGTTGTATTTTATATAATGCTCTGTAGTTAAGTTTACATGAATCTGTTTTACAAACGAATTCCAAACTAAACAATCGATTGAACTACTCGAAAAAGTAATATGAGAATTCATACATTTTTTTGAAATGTAATTATTGCTTTAACTTTTAACCCATTTATTAATTGAGGAAAGATGTAGTTTTGGGAAAAAAATCGGTCGAAATTACTAAGCTCGCCAAGGGTCAAGAGAGGAGAAAAGAAAAGGGCATTGAAAAGTCTTACAAATGCTGTTTTTGTTTGAAGTCGATAAAACCAACCAATTTCAAGAAAATCAATATACAGGGTGGCCAAATGAAAACGAAATAGAGCCATTTTCAGGAACTGCGTCAAGAATATAAATAATTAGTTACATTTTTCTTCATTACTTTACTTCTTTTCTTAAATATATGACGTTACACGCTAATCCAAATACCATCTATAACTCTATTATGTCAGCCGACGTCGTTTCGTTGCCGAACATACCACAACCGAGAGAAAATGCGTATCGCTCCATCAAATAATCTTATTCAGTTTCTCGCTTTAGTTTACTGGTTTCTGCTTGGTTTTCAGATTAATTTTTATTTAATTTTTGTGGCAAATATTTGTACTAATACGAAAAATGTTCCGAAAGTGCACATGTGTAGATTTCCAGATGCGCCTGCTAGAAGGTAAAAATGGATATTGGCATCATCTAGAAAAGATTTTTCGTCGACAAAAAAGTTGTAAAATGTCCATGAAAAGCAGCAATTCTCACATAACAGCGAGGCTTAGGTAAATGCCACTATCGCCTTTTCTCTTATTTCGCCTTAACATATTATTTTAAGTTTATTTTAAGTTAAATACGACGTATGTGTTATATGTCTTTCAATTCCATATAAAGTTTTCAAAAAGTGTAGCATTTAACAACTGCCTCTGTATTTACCTAAAAGTGTCTCCTGTTCTGTCTTTAAAGTAGTAATAACCAAGCTCATCCTGCACCAGCAGATCTCCAGAATTGAAATAAGCGTCTCCTTTCTTGAAAACGTCTCTAATTACTTTACTGCTTGTCGCCTTTTTATCAGCGTAGCCGGAGAAGTCATTGAGACTCCTACGGGGATTGATTTTTCCAATAAGTATGCCATCTTCTCCAACAGGGCATCGCACGCAGAAGCCCTCTTCGTTTCTGACGGGCTCGTGAGTGTCTTCATCGCACTTTATTAGCGTTACGGGATACAAGGCGTAGGCGTATCTCGGGACGAAACCCACTGAGCCAACGGTGTTGTCGATGTTCACTGTAACAAAGAAAGAAATGTGGAAGTCAAAGATGTTTTGGTTAGTTTAAATTATTCGTTAATTTAATTAAGATTATTTGTTGCAACGACACGTTAATTTTGTCTTATAATTTACATTACTGACATTAAAAAATTTGAAAATGATGGTAATTCCACAAGCGTTATTGTGCCTGTTGTGACTTTGGTTTTGTTACAAATATTAACAAGTCAGACAGGGTGTTTTGTAACGAATAGATCATACTGTAATGAAAGGTTCTTGGAATCAAAATATGCCGATCTAACCTAACTTACCTTGCAAGGTGCAAAAGATAATAATAACAAATACAGAAGTAACAAATAACCGTTAAAAAATCAAATTATCTACCTTAGGTCTGCCAAAGATGAGCTTTGTTGTCAACTGGTTACAAAGTTATTTTCAAAATTGTTGATTGAGAAAAACGGGTAGCTTTCGCCCCCCCATTATTGAATTTGTCGACCAGTAGTTCACACGGTTAGACAAGAAGGAGACATTTTATGAGGGTGGTCTGAAAAGTTTCCGACCTCAACATGAAGATGGCAGCACTCGTAAATAAAAGCTAGTGAATTTCGTTGTTCATCTGTTGACAGTTACTCACCAAAGTTTCAGCCATTTTGGACGCGTAGTTGTTATGTAACAGTCGTTTGAGTGAGTTGATGTGAGTGTTTTTATGAAAATGGACAAAATCGAGTATCGAGCTGTCATTAAATATTTGTTTTTGAAAGGCAATACGCCTACGCAAATCAAAGATGAGTTGGATTCTGTGTATGGGGACTCTGCACCATCATTTACCACAGTGAAATTTTGGGCAGCTGAATTTAAACATAGCCGTAAGAGCTTGGGAGACGATGAACGTTCGGGATGTCCAAAAACTGCAACTACCGACGAAAACATCGCCAAAGTTCACCAAATGGTGCTAGACGACCGCCGAATTAAAGTGAGTGAGATAGCAGAGGTTATGAACATGTCAAAAGAACGTGTTTGTCACACATTAAATCAACATTTAAACATGAGAAAGCTGTTCGCGCGTTGGGTGCCGCGTTTGCTCACGTTAGACCAAAAACGTGTTCGAATGAACATTTCCAACGCTCTGTTGGCGCAGTTTAGCGCAATAAATCCGAGTTTTGGCGCCGATTAATTACTGTAGATGAAACTTGGATACACCATTATACGCCCGAAACAAAAATACAGTCCAAACAGTGGACTGCAAAGGGGGAACCGGCTCCAAACAAAGCAAAAACTGTTTTTTCTTCTGGGAAAGTGATGGCGACTGTTTTTTGGGATAGTCAAAGAGTTATTTTAATCGATTATCTTCAAAAAGGAAAAACCATTACAGGGGCATACTACGCATCACTACTTGACAAGCTGAAGGCAGAACTTGCGGAAAAACGGCCACATTTGCAGAAAAAGAAAATCCTGTTTCATCAAGACAAAACAGCGTCTCACACTTCAGCGGTTGCCATGGCGAAAATCCACGAATTACGGTTTGAACTGCTTGACCATCCGCCTTACTTAGCAGATCTAGCCCCAAGCGACTTCTTTTTGTTCCCTCATCTAAAAATTGCGCTCGGAGGACAGAGATTTTCGTCAAATGAAGAGGCAACCTTCGTGAACAATTATTATGCAGAAAAAAACGCCGAGTACCTACTATTTGGACGGGTTACAGAGATGGGAGCATCGCTGGGAGAAGTGTATAGAGTTACAAGGAGACTATGTTGAAAAATAAAAAAAAAATTCTGAAAAAATGTCTTGCATTTTTGTTAGGTCGGAAACTTTTCAGACCACCCTCGTAGATATGGTTGAGGAAAACCCAAATATCAGTAACCTATAAAAACTTTCTCAAAAATGAAATAAATAAAGCTGTTGTGCACTGGAAAAAAGTTGTGGCGAAGCATTTCTATTGTGCTTTATTTATTTTTGAATTATTATTAAAAACGTGATTTTAAAAAAGCTAAATATTAGGAACAAGCAAACTTCAAATTACTGACAATAAAGCTTGTCTCTAGTAGGCCTAAATTACATAACTTTATTGGTTACTTCTTATTTGAATTTGAATTTAGCATCACTACAAACTCCCTTAGATTGAAATTAGTCCAAATATATAATTGTGTCAAAAGAAATAGAAGAAAACTGATCTTTAACCCTCCATATGGTTGTAATTAATCGGCCTACTTTGACATCAGGAACCTCCCATTACAGTAAGGCCTACTCGTTACAAAACACCCTGTATAATATCGCGCACTGATATTAATAAAACGTTTTGCTCATTGCTATGCAAATATAGTTGCTGTTCAGAAATGCCACTGCATTTTTGCCTAAAACTAAAACCATATTTAAACATAACATTTTATTCATATATTCTCGAAACTATAATTTTTTTTGCATCTTATATTTTTTTGATATACTATAAAAAAAAAAGTTATAATATCTCTCAGACAGCAAAACAAATAAACAAATTCATTTAAATTTAGTCAAGTGGAAAATAATGGAAATTAAATGTATAAAATGCGTACCTAATTTATCAATTTAACATGTCTCCGTTGCTATCTATTAGATGTTTGGCAGATAGACATTTTTTAAATTTAAAGTAACTACTATATTTTCTATCTTTGAGAATAATAAATTCCTCAAAAAATTAAATCTACCTACCTATATTCTCTATCTTTGGGAATAATACATTTTCCAAAAAAATATATCTACCTACCGCAATGAACTATTAAGGTGCGTATACATCTGCGCGCCGAGCAACCCGCGCGGTGTGCGCGCCGCGCGTTCGTTGCTCGTCCAATGTTCGTTTGAATCATTCATTTTGAAGAACCTTCCGCGATCCAAAGAAAACCCACGAACATTTTAGTAGACATTTTGCATTGTAGATGATCATGTTTTTGTCGCGCGATAAAAATTACGCCGTTCCGGTGATGGCACACTATCCTGTTAAAAAAACGGAATGGTACCGAGCTTATGATGTCGCAAGCAATAAGCGGTCAATTTTACTCGAATGTCACCTTCTGACTTCGAGAATCTGCTGCAGAAGATTGGTCCTCATATTTCCAAAGAAGATAGTTATTTCCGCACTGCAGTTTCCGGTCAAGACAGGCGAGTATTAATATTTGTTGCTCACAATTTGTTTAATTGTTGTTTATAACTCGCTGTTTAATTTTCGGTGACAATAGGAACAAACCTTTACATTAAAAAAAATTCATCAGTTCATCAAAAATTTATGCGTGACAGCACCTCGCCATTCAAAATATATTTTTCAGCTTTTGTTCGATATAATGTTCGTTGAAACATGATAAAATGTACAGATTTTTTTTTAATGGTTGACACTTACTTATTTTACGCCGACACAGTTTTCCAGAATTTTAAAGTTTAATCCTACACTTTTTCGATGTTTCAGAAAATAACTTTGATATAAAATAATATTCGTATTCGTTAAAAGAAATCGCAGTTTCATCATGTTCCGTTGAGGAGTCATTAACTACAAGGGCGTTCCAAAGTAAACAGGATTTTTTAAAAATAAGAACTGAAAGTTTTTTTGGCAAAACCGATTTATTTTATTGAAAATAGCCCCTCCCGACTCAATACAAGGATTTGCACGGTCCAAAAGCATGTCGACCGAGTGTTTTAGATCGTCAATTGGGATGTCCTTCAGGATGTCGATACAAGCCTTTTGGATGGCTTCTGTGTCCATCAAACGCTTTCCTTTCATCGGCAAATCATTTTCGGAAAAAATAAAATTTGCACTGTGCCAAATCAGGTGAATATGGCGTGTGGTTGACAGTTAAAATGCGATTTTTAGTAAAAAAAATCAGTCACTACTGTTGATCGATGAGATGGCGCGTTATCGTGCAACAAACGATGAATGAGATGCACCAAACGCTTCAAAAAGCCAAGATATAATTGTGCAAAGGTTTGGTCCAGTGGAATGAACTCTTTGTGGACAATAAACTTGGAATCGTAAAAGCAAATCAACACTGTCTTCACTTTTGACTTCTCCGAACGAGATTTTTTGAGTTTTGGCTCGTCTGGCGCCTTCCACTGGGCATTTTGAGGCTTGGTTTCTGGATTATATTGTTAACACCATATTTTATCACTAGTCACAATATTGTAAAGGAGGCTTTTGTCCATTTTGGCCTCTTTGATGTCCTTCAAATGTTGAATTCGGATCAATTTTTGGTCGTCAGTTAATTTATGGGGAACAAATCACTTTTCGGTAATCCAAATGTTCGGTAAAAATGCGATAAATTGACGTTTTTGATATGCTCAATTCCAATTCCATGAATTTCAATGAAGATCTTGGGTGAACTTTGACGATTTCATGCACAGTTTTGATGGAATCTGTGGTGATCACAGATTTCGGTCGGCCAACATGTTGCTTATCGTTTATGTCCTTATATAAACTTAGTTCATCGATTAAAACATTTTGGTAAAAGTTTTAGCAAGTTTAAAATAAAATTTAATGTTAGCTTTTTGTTCGATGCTCATTTTTGTACCGATGACACAAACATATTGTGATTTCAGACGCAGTAACTTCGCTCCGTTCAAATATTATGAAATTTTGAAAGTATATCAATGAACGATCTACCTTTCCAACGCATGTAATTGCCCATAGATGGCCTCACTAGGAAATACCTATTATTGAAAAGTCCTGTACTATGTCCTGTACTTTGGAATACACTTTGTATATCTCCCTTGATAGCGCCATCAGCGTGAGCCTTAATGCAAAACGTGCAACTAGTCAATTTCACGGATTGTTCACTGTATTTTTAACCTAATATTGCAGATAATATAGCTATGCATTTAGGTATTTTGTCTGTGATAATATTGACTGACTCGAATCATGGAATCTACGTTGCATATTTAAAAAGATATGAATTTCTGAATGTAAAACAGCTTCGAATCAAATATTCGTTTAAATGAAATAGACATTTATGGTTTTCTACGCGAATATTTCTTCACATCACGGCATCACGCCTCTACTTTTCAGAACCCATTTTTATGTTTGTAACCCGATAGAACATTGATTTAAATAAAACATATCCTATAGGTATTTCTGTGCACAGCTGTGGACTTCAAAAACAAGGTTTTTTATTATTGTTTTTTAAATCCCTTAACTATTGAACGTCCAATCTAAAGATTGGAAATATTTTTTTATCCACAATTCTACCCACTTCAAGAAAGATTATTAATTCTTTAGACGCGCCCATTGGATATTGAATTCTATACTCACTTAAGTTGGAATTTCCTTCAGTCGCCCCATAAAACTCATAAACGTGCTCGATTTCAAATTCGTCGACAAACTGCTTCCAAATTTCAGGTCGAAGACCATTTCCCAGGACCTTCTTTACAGTAAAGTTTACTTTTGTGCCAGGCTTATGAACCGATAGCACATATCGACATATTTCACCAATATAATGAGCTACCTGGAAATAAGTTGAAACGAAAAAAGTTTGCAAACTATTCTAGGAAAGAATTATGTAAGAATTAAGAAAACATTATTGTACTTACTGTGCAGTTGTACTTTTTGCAGTCGTTCCAGAAATTGGAAGCTGAGAACTTTTTCCTCAGCACTACTGGTATTCCAAACATAATGCTTTGTCCTACTCCCACCATCCCTCCAGCGCTGTGGTAAAGGGGCAAAGGGTCGTAATATATGTCGTTTCCGTTTAAATTCGCCATTGTGTAGACGGCACTAACAGCGAACATGTATCTTCAATATAAAAGTAAATGTGTTATGCAAAACATGTTATGAAGCAGGGAATGAAATGAACTTTATGAAATTGTAAATTATTAACATTCTAGAAGGTGCTTTCAAAAGTAAACAGCATATTTTGGTATTTCTACTGAGACCATCTATTACATGCGTCGGAAAGGTAGACTTCCGTCCACTGATGAACTGTCAAAATTTCATGACATTTCGACGAATGGAAGCGAAGTTATTGCATCTGGAGTATGTTTTTGTCATCGGTACAAAAATGAGCATCGAACAAAGAGCTGATATTGGGTTTTATTTTAAACTTGGTAAAACTTAATTGACGAACCAAGTTTATGGCGATGATTGGTGAAACAGTCGGACATAAATGATGAGCAACATGTTGAGCAGCCAAATCCGTGATCTCCGCAGATTCCATCAAAACTGTGGTGAATTCATCAAAGGTCGGTAAAAATTCTTCATTAAAATTCATGGAATTAGAATTGAACATCTCAAGAACATCAATTTATCCTCTTTTGGCCGAACATTTGAGCTATCGAAAAGTGTGTGTCCGGTTTGTTCAGCACAAGTTAACTGACGACCAAAAAGGACAAAATGTTCCTTTACAACATTGTGACTGATGATGAAACATAGTGTATTCAATATGATCCAGAAACCAAACGCCAAAGTGTCGAATTGACGGCGCCAGATGAGCCAAAACCCAAAAAATCTCGTTTGGAGAAGTCAAAAGTGAAGACAATGTTGATTTGCTTTTACGATTCTAATGGCATTGTCCACAAAGAGTTCAGTCTTGTGGGTCAAACCGTTTATGTACAATTAAATTTTATCTTGGCGTTTTGTTGTGTTTGGTGCATCGTATTCGTCATATTCGGCCAGAATATCGCCAAGAAGGAAGGGAACTATTTTGAATAAAATAAATCGGTTTTACCAAAAAATACCTTTTGTTGTTCTTATTTATAAAAAATCATGTTTACTTTGGAATGCATCTTGTATGTTCTTTGAAAGTAACCAAATAATATAAAGGAATCAGTAATTAGTGTGTTAATTTTTTAAATTAAAATATAAGGTACCCAGGCGAATTAAGGCCCAACCTAAGCTTTCAACCTTTGAGTCATTTTAGTTACAGTGTATTCAACAAAAATGGATGGATTTTGGTAATAACAATTCTGTTTGTTTTTTTAACGAGGTGGATTAAAATAAGATGATTTAGATTTTTAGATCAACTACTTAGAAAAGTCATTGTCTGAGGTGACAATATTTTTTGAAATTGCTCTACAACTTTTTAGTTTGACTTCTTAGTAACGTACTTATTTATTTGACGTAATATTTTTTAAGATAATAACATAGAGAATGTTATTATTTTAGCGTTCCATTATAAAAAAAAAACAATTGTTTGGTTTATATATCCTGAATACAACATCAATTGTTCAATTATATATTTTTCTCGCTAAGAATGCTAAGATGCTAAGAAAATTTTCTAAAATTTTTATCTCTATCAATTTTTGCCAGATAGAAGGGTAAAAAAGATAAGGTGAGTAGAATATAAATGATTCTGTCCATAAAAATAAGAAGAAAAGTTTGGAAGAACTTGTTTTCTGTCCTAGAGTTATTAAGGCTGTTTCAAGAATATAAAAAAAGATAAGAAACATTTTAGAAACAATATTTATATAAACTGCTTATCTTATTATTAAGCACAGAATCCTTCATCCGAATATGATTGAAATTCTCGAACACCCTGTATATTTTCAGTACATTGAATGTCGAAGATACAGTACGCATTGATAACACAACCCCACAAAAAATTAAACCTAAACCTAAACTAAACTTAAACCAGATCTGATCGAGTCAAACAGACACCGGATTCGGATTCAGCGACCCCAAAAACGTATAGATACGTAGGTTTAATTTGTTGGTAATTGATTTTTTATATTTGACCTTGAACTGACCTTAAACCAGAGCTAATCTTGTTGAACGGACACCGGATTCGGATTCAGCGACCCCAAAACTATAAGGATACCATGGTCTTGTCTTTCGGGCTGTGTAATAAGCATTTTAAATAAAACCGCTGATTGTGAAACTGCAAAATGGTATTTCAAATTAATAATAACCAAGATCTTTCAAATTTATTGAGAACCTCTGGAATTGGTCGCTAGATAAAAAGACGTGACTAGTGGTGGCCATATAGCAAGCCGTCTACTTTTTGTGTCGTTTTTTTGTAAGTGTAAAAATTGTTAGTTTATTTTTAGGTTATCATCAGTTCTAATTAAGTTTTCATTATGAACACATTAATAGTGAGTTTAAGTGGGCATTTAGTTTTATGGATTTGCACTAATTTGGACTAATTGGATTTGTGTTTGTCTGCTTTACGATGTGTGTGCGCGCGCGTGGTAACGTATAGAGACCCAAATAAAAACTAAGTTAATTATGCACCTTTACAACAATATGTGAAATAGTAGGGGTGATACAATTTAGCAGACGAAGAGTAATTACTTTTATATTTTTAAACAGAGCCAGCAGAGCATGGATGGAGTCAACGGTTCCAAAAATGTTTCCTTATTTTATTGTGGTAAGTCAGAATGTTATATAAGAAAATTGGATAATAATCATTGACGTAAGCATAAAAAGTGCAGTGATCAAGGAAATTACGAACTACAATAAAAAAACAGGTTTGACAAATGTAGAGAAAAGTCGTTTTTTCGCAGGAATATTAGTTTTCAAAAAGCTTTGTTCAATGGCTCAAGTATAGCCTTTGTTAAGCATGTGGCCTAATTTGGTACAAGTACGGAAGTTTCGTGATTAACTTACAACTATTGTTAACTGTTTGGCCACTCTTCAGCTTGCATATGACATAATATTTTGCTAACAATATTAATATCTTCCGTTACCTTGAGTGAGATATAACTGCTGCTTTGGGAAGACCTGTAGTTCCAGATGTGTAAATGTACACCACCTTATCCCTTCGTCTAGTCAATGCTATATCTTGTTCAGGCGAAGCGGAGGATTGGTTTTCTATTGCTTTATTGAGATTAATTGAACCATCTTCCACTATCCTTTCTCCTGACGTATTGAACTGATACAGTTTAACGGGTTTTATTTTGTCTTTAATTCCATTTACAGCTGCAAGTAAAATGTATGTAGTTTAATTTTTTTTATAACAATTTTTTATTCTCTGGCAAAGCTACGATTTTAAAAGGTGTGGGTATCTTACCATTTGCATAGCTAGTTCCATAAATAATTGCTTTACTATTTGCCACGGAGATGCAGTGATATAAAGGATCTGATATAAGATTTGTATTTATCAGTGCCGTTACCACACCGATTTTCGACAGTCCTAGCCAGATTCCAACATATTCTGCCCTATTTTCGAGGAGGAGTGCTACAGTATCGCTGTGCTTATATCCTTCTTCTTTGAAATAGTGTGCTATTTTGTTGCTGAAGTCTTCAAGCTGAAATTAGGTTAAAAAAAATTATTACCTAATTGGAAACAAGTCGATGTATCTTATTTGTCAAACTCATTGCATATTTTGGGTATTCAATGATTCAGTCACTCCCTGCTACCCTTTAGCTTCGGGTGGACATTAGAAAACCTAAAAATTTGCAAAAATTCGACGGATTCAAGTCACGAACCACACCACAAATTTAGGTTACTAAATTTATAAAATTCGCCTTAAATTCTTTTAGTTTGTGATGTTTTAGAAAAGTTATTAATGTCTTTGTTAGAAACACGTCCTCCTAATAATACCAGTTGACAAGTATTGTAAACCCTCAATTAACTTTATAAACCACTTTTTATAAAACAATGAAACAAAAATAAAACTTCCAGTTACATATAATACTCACTCGTACTTTAGAAACTAAAACAAGATTCGAAAAAAATATCTGTTTTGGCATTTTGGGCAGCAAATAATTAATTTTGTTTTGCCATTTTTGCACAACCCTGCTGCACATTCTTCCTGACGGTATCTTAAACAACACAACAGACGCATATTCTGAACTTTACCTTGCTGACACAAAAAACAAAACCAACTCTCTGTTTTTCTTATGTTGTCCTGAGTTGCTTTTCCTGTTTTGACATTTGTAAAAGCAACTATGGAAGCCTATTTGGCTAATCTGACAAAATTTTGCTTATTTTTGTTATTAAATAAACCTCGTAAGGCAACTGGGGTAGTAGAGTTCAGCTTTACGCGTTTCCATAACTGGAGTCTTCAGTTGTGATGATAGTAATAATTTTTGGAAACTCTTTACGCCATCACTTAGTAAAGTACTTCGAAATCTGTTTTCCTCGCTGGCCAAATTAACTTTTTGACATGACTTATGCGTACCTGATGAAAAAATCTTAATCACTGCTGTTTTTTGAATCAGAGTAGTCAGTGAATTCTAGAGGATGATTATGGATAGACTCCTTTGCATGGCCGCATCCAAAAAAAACCGACTAAATGCTATGTTGTAACAGATTTTGGAGCTTCAAAGAGTAAGGGGTTTCTGGTATCCAACTGCAGGGTTACAGGACTGATTTCTTTTTGTATGTCCAGAATATGCTGCTGGGTTTTTAATTAATTTAATTTAGGTAATGCCCTATTAAATATGCTCTCGTCACTTACTCGTCTGCCGAACTGTAAATTCATGACTTGAGTTTGATGCGAATCTACCGTTGAATTTTTGCAGACTTTTAGGTTTTAGGGTGCTTTTCTGGTGTTTACCTGAAGCTGAAAGCTGCAGAGATTAATTTGGTCTTTGAAGGTCCATAATATACTCGTTTTCAGGACTGTGTCTATGGATAAACCTACTGAATACAGGTTTTAGGGATGATTTTTAGCAATTTAAGAAAACTCGATAGTGGTGAAGCATTTCCCACATCAGATTCCGTTTATGGGGATATACAAATATATAAGGGCCTTATTTGTAGAATATGCTACTTTCTTTGTGTGCTTGTGTAATTTTTTGAACATAATACTTCTCAGATTTAGACCAAAAAGACTTAGTGAACCAAAAATCTCAAACCACTATCAATGATTTTTTGAACTTTTGATGGTTTTATGTGTTATGAAATTTCTATAGGTACTTTTTTTGTGTTATTATTATTATTATTAAATTAAATAAAGTAATAATTCGAAAACAGTTCGTTTTTCAAACAAAGGGGCCTTAGAAATAACAGATACCATTAGGAAATAAATGTACTGATCAAATTTCCAAAATACTCAGTGGCGTCAAAAGAGCTTAGTGACAGTGGCTTACAATATTTTCGCCACTGGTTAACAATTCATAGAAGTTCTGTTTTTAGTTAGACAAACTATTATTCCAAGTTTCATTAATCTACGTCAAACATCTTCTGAGACATTGTATTAAATTTCAATTTACTGATTCTCGAATACCAGTGACTTTAGACTTTGGATTCGTTAAGGTGTTTAATTTAAAATAATAGAAGCAAAACTCTGTTTAAGGTAATTCACGGACTTTGTAAACGTCTTGTAAGTACAATGTACATAATTATCGTTTTTCTGTACATATCGTTATTTTATAAATTAAAACAAAACGAAATAAAAGTAACACGATTATTTTTGCGATCGTTCTTTCCTGTTGAGTGACGTTTTTTGACGATAAGGATTGAATAAATGAGGTTAAAATTTAAACGGAAATGGATATGATGATGATAGTTAAAAAAGTACGTACCTACTTACCTATACCTAATTTTTGCTAGTTATAAGAACGCGCTATTGTCCATTTTTTTAAACATTGCGTTTTGAACAATTTTATAAAAAATTATTATAAACTAGAACCGACTAGAAAAAAATATTGATTTTAATAAAACTATTTGTTAAATATTCATCAATAACATCCACTAAACTTTTTTACTTTTATGTTTTTTATATGGTAGTGAATTTCATATAAAGCTTTCTTACAAAACGAAACTAGTCTCGACTTAATGGAGTGTTCTGTATATTGTGTTACATTTGAACAAAATGTTTTTTCAGGAGTACAATGGTATCAGATTTTCTAAATCTATTTCTAGTGGCGAAGAAGATATAAGATGCGATAATTTTTAAATATTTGTTTGAGGGAGGCGTTTTTATGCGTAATTTTCAATGAATTCATAGTTGTCTTTTGACGAGAGTTTTAGAAAATCTAAACACAAGTTCCAAACAATATCTTTTCACTGTACCAGTTATACAAAATTTCCTCAGGGCATAAAAGCATATTTTTACCTCTTATGTTTATCATTACATTTGCTGAACTTTACACACCATTTGAAATATGATAATTATTGAAATCAATAAATTGATACAAAAAGTTGCGAAGTGTACTATAAACATAATCACACCCAGCAGAATGCTATAAAAATAGATTAATTATAATAATTATTGAGTAGTATTTTTACAAAATTCTCGACAAAACATGAAAGGTACATGGGTGTGCAAGTTTTCCATGATCCTTCTCAGCAAAAAATTAAGGAAATCCTTGTATTTCAACATTTTTATAGTTTAGATGGATTTTCTTGTTCTATCATTGTCTTACTAAAAGTGCAATTTCTTGTCTATAAATGGCTAAAGAAAAATACTGTTTTAATTTGACATAATATTTCATTTAACATACCATAAGTTGGTTTATCACGCTTTTTAAGAACATCTTGTATAAAATTGTATATCATCACAAAAGACTTAATGGATACAATGTTTGCGTTTCTAAAAAAAAAAAAATAATGTGGGGTGATATTTATAACCAATAGGTAAGTACATATAATTTAAAGTTGAGTTTGCAACTGTATTTAGCAACAAAATGTTATTGGTATGTAATAAAAAGTGCATATAATAATTAACTTAATTGATTGCTAATACGTACATTATCTTAATGTCACTATTAATGTATATTCAATTATTTTTTGAAAATCAGCGTTTTACGGCGAAAAATTTAATTATATTCCGTTTATCAAGTAATGAATAGTCCATTTATACACATATTTTGCATTTCTCGTGCAGATAAAAAATAATATCTATTATTCTTTTATCGCGACTTATAAACATAACCCATGGCCTTCAATTTTTTTAGTTTATGAATTTTAAGATTTTATGTCCCAAGGAAGATTATGAGTGTGTATGATATATAAATTGTGTCAAACAGAGGTTTCCTGACAAGTATCAATTTTTCCCATATTTGGTATTGGTAGTGTAGTAGCTTTTACTTATTTAGAGCATATTTTGGCATTTGAGACAGTCATGAAGAGAGAACTTGAAAATTATGGCCGTTATTTAAACTACTCACTGAATTGTAGCTATAGTAACTCAAGTAGAGTAGTAGATTAATGTATTATGACATAACCTATGTGTCAATGACATTATTTTAGATGGAACATTATTTTTATCTGCTAAGAGTTAAAAAGGGTATCAGTTAATGACTATATTCATCTGACATCAAAACGATAGTTATGTGGGTTGTCAGACAAATATTTATCACAATGACTAATAATAGTTTTAAATAAAAATTGGTAAATAAGAAGACTTTTCTCAAGTTATTTATTTGTGACAGTTATAGTTCTTTCTCTCTTTATTTAACTTTTATTTCTTTTTGTTTTAATTTTTACAGGTGCGAAATTACACAAAGAAACAGAAAAAAATTAAAAAGATTTGCATATAACGATTTCCAGTATTTAACTTGATGAATACGTGTATACAAATTAAGCAAGTTACAATAAGGCCATATTTTATAAACATATATGTTAAATATAACATAGATATGCTTGTCTGATAAAATAACACGCAAGGTGATTCAAAACTTGCTAATTAATATTATATGAGAGGAACCAAATAGATAGGTAAGTTTTATTTTTTAGAATACAAAAATAAATAATAACTCTCAAAACAAAACACCATCAATCGTCGAGTCGATTAATTACCCAATAAAAGTGTCATATTATATGTATTGTTATTTTCCAAAATACTTTTTTTCGATATCTACAGTGTGTTCATGATTATGTTCTGAAGAAGAAAACTTTTTTAATTTATTTTGTGAGAAAATGCCATCCATCCATTTATAAAATTTCTTGCTTTTTATATAAAAAATTCATAGAAAAATTTAAACACGATCAAGAGCAATCCATTCCCACACACTGAAATACGAAAAAGATTAAGTAAACGATATTGTTAGGAATCCACAAAACAATTGAGACTATGTTCAGAACATTCATGGAATTCCTAAAATAATGCCATACACTTTTCCTAATTTCATGATTTCGCTATACATTGCTCGTGGTCATCTTTAAATTTTTCACAAGAAAAAATAGAAGACATACAAGAAAATAATATTTTGAGATCAAACAAAGAATGTTATAAATAACTGAAAATGTGAATTTTTTTTATAAATAAATGCATATTTTTAGTGATATTGAAATATAATAATAAATCTAAATTAATTTAAAAAAATGCGTATAATTTATGTTTAAAAAGCCATGAAGTTTATATAAATAGGTAGACAAATAAGTAACTAACCTGTTGATAAGTCCAAGTTTCATCTTCAAAATAAAACGCCACTTTCTGAGGATGTTTTTTCACTAATTTTGTAAATAACTTTGGTATTGTTTCTTGACATTGGTCCCACTTGTACATCAACCAATTCATTCTTAAAAAGCGATGTCCCGCTCTGAAAACATTAAAAATTGTTTTGAGTCTCTCCCTTTAGGCTATTTTTTTTCTGCGAATTATATAGAACTGAAATTCGAATTTATTTCAATCACAATTTCATCTGGACCGTAATCATGAGTACAAGAAGTTTTAGAAAAGAATTGTTAATGAATCACAAACACATTTAAGAACTTCGTTAATGTATCAAATTGTAGTGTTTTACACCTACATAAAAGTGTAAGGATAAGTAATCAAGTATAATTATTAAAGTATTTTATATTCAACAAGCGACGAATGGAAATATTAATATATACTTACATAATATCTCTTCGTATAGTTTTGGCCAGAATATAAATCCATCTGTATTTTTTTTCTGTAGAGAGGAACCATGTTAATAGGAATATTATGGACAAAATCCAATACTGAAATTAAAAAAATCCTTGCATAAAAAGTCTATACATTTTCAGCCTCTGGCATATAAATGGTAGGGATTTTGCTTTCAACTATTTCTCTTTATTGTAAAAAATTGAAGAGAACGTATTACTTTATAATAAAATTAGAAATCACTTTTTTAACTCTTTTTATCTATAAGGGTGTTCCAGAAAACATTAGTTATATAGCAATCATAGATTCACTAACATTGAGTGTTAATGTCTGTGAACTGACATAATGTATTCAACTGATTCAAACTGAGTACACGTTATAAAGAAAACAATAAAAATCATCTCCAAATGTTTCACTTTGTGCGTCAGTAGCGTAGAGACGGAAGTGTGATTCTTTGTTTAATGGATCTTTTAAGAAAAACAACTGGAGGAAGATTTTAATTATTTGATTCCGCAAAAAATTGATTTTATCAAATTGTTGATCCAAAAAAAAATTGAAGCTTAAAATACTAAATTGACTTTAGGTATATTTGCACTGTAAAAAAATCGCTATGAGTGAATAAAGCAATAAAGGTACGAAGTGAATCCAATGAGTGGAATTATTGAGTACATTTTACTCAATATTGAGCATTTTGATAATTTTACTTTGTGATAATATTTTGAATTAAAACTGAGTACTTTCACTCACATATAATAGGTACCCGTTAAATAAATTCTGGAGATAAACTCGTATTTGATGCACTTTTAGTTAAATCTGAGTAAATGTCCTCACTATTAAGTGACCCCACCCCATTCTATGGTTGTTGTGCGTTGTCTTTGTCTATTCCCGTTGTCCAGATTAGGTAATCTCGTGGCGTGGTGTATGACGTGTAGTGCTGGACAAGTGTCCGTGTTTAAATCCAGTAGTTTTATTACAATAATTAAAAACAATAATATATTGTCTCGAATAATATTTGGTTAAATAAACAGATAGTTAAATTGTTACTACTACTTACGCATCTGCAATGCACAATATAACTTATGGCAATCTATTCGTCCGATCAGTTAACCAATTCCTTTAATCGAGACCTAAAATATTGTATCTAAAACAGATCTGTGTAGAAACCACTGTGGCAGCTTAGGAGTTTATAACTTTAATACAATGATATTTAAATTAAAATTTAAAGAGAATATAAGGTGGTGTAAAACCACTCCAGAAATTTTCGTAGTACAAAATTACTCGACAATAGTTAAATTTAAATCATATTAGAGAGAAAGTCAACTCTTAATTGGTTTTACATACTCGGAATAGAGTCAAAAATCACTCACTCGAAGTTAGCAGAAACTCGGATTTAAGTAAAATTCACTCACTTCTGCTGCAATAGCTTCACTCATAAAATTTTAATTGTACTCATACTAATAGAGTGAAAATTTCACTCATTCAGGTGTGGACAGAAATTGATACATTACTGAGTAAAATTGAGTCAATTTCAGTGAAATTTTTTACAGTGTGAGATACGAAAAATGTTAGCAATTACGTTTAATATAACCTGTTTTATACTTTGGATTTGAAAGGATTAGGAATAATATCTATTGCAGTGTCTGCTTCTGGATGAACTCATGAACAGAAAAATATATTTTTCAACAATCTCTTTAAAATTTCTTATAATTGTAGCTGCTAAAATCTTTCGATACAATCAATTTGGTGTTTTAAGAGTCTATTCTTGGAATAACAATTACATCTCATTTTATTCAAATTTTACCAATTATAAAAGAGTTTGGCAAAAGGAAATTTTGTTTATAATCGACATATAATTCAGAAACTCAGTTTTCCTTAAATAAAGAGGACTAATCACTCATATTATATTGATATATGGAAAGAAATATTTGAATATATTTTTTATTGCTTCCCAAGTGCTATGTACAGCAAATTTGAATCAGATTCCTATGTCGGTTCTAACAGCTATTTGTTGTGGTTCTAATACCTATCATATTTTATTCCCATATTAAGGCGATTTTGTACTAACTGTATAGTGATTATTTTCATTCACTTCATTAGTAATTCTCAAACGGTCTGTGGTATTATGAAACAGTAACCGCTACGATCTCGGTCGACTATATTTCTATGCAAATTTTAATATATGTATTTGGCCGAACAAAACAGCACTTGGTGCTCCATTACAGTTGAAGGTGTAGCTGTGTTAATTATTAATATGACGAAATCAGATTTTGTTAGATCGGGATACTCTGCTGTATGAAATTACCAAAGCGGCATTTCTTTTGTATGATTTTGCGACATGTCATTTAAAGTCATTATTATTTTATGTCTTTGCGAACGAAGGTCGGGAAGTTGGGGATACATACAGGCTGAAAGCCCAAAACTGCATCCACAACTGCACTAAAAAAAAATAATAAACTAAACATTGAGAGTGAGAACACTAACTTAATTACAGAAACAGTGGAAGACCTTGAAGAACTTAACTACTACTACTACTACTACTACTACTACTACTACTACTACTACTACTACTACTACTACTACTACTACTACTACTACTACTACTACTACTACTACTACTGCTTCAGCTTCTGCCTACTGCTACTACTACTACTACTACTACTACTACTACTACTGCTACTGCTACTACTACTGCTACTGCTACTGCTACTACTACTACTACTACTACTACTACTACTACTACTACTACTACTACTACTACTACTACTACTACTACTACTACTACTACTACTACTACTACTACTACTACTACTACTACTACTACTACTACTACTACTACTACTACTACTACTACTACTACTACTAAAGAACTACTTATTTTTAAAATAACTTCAAGTTATTAGTACAAAATATCAGTTACTGTTTTTAAATCACAGTGTTTAGTTTGTGAATCTCTGTCTCAATTACATCCGATATTGACTTATTTCGCATTTTAGAAATAAAAGTACTTCATAAAAAGTTTTACTTATCGTGAAAAATCATAAGCCATACTCAGACTTTCAAAATAACATACGAGGTGGTTAGCAAACAACGTGAATTTGTGCCAGTAAAGTATTAGTTTATTGAGACAAATTTAAAAATGTTACTGAAAGAAATTGTTTATAATGTCAATAGTAATCCAGATATGAAATTTGAATGGCGTTTTAGTTGATATTTTTACGAAAATTATGATTAAAATAATTTTATAAATTCAAGGCAAGCGCATAATTTATTGAATAAAATGATAACAAAACTATTCTATATTTTGTCCTCCTACTGTTACACATTTAATCAGTATTTCTAAATTTTTCATAAACTAAGTGAATTGTATCCTCATTTATGTCGGCTATTGCTTCTGATATTTTCTCCTTTAAAAGATTTAAATTATCTTGTAAATCATGGGCATAAAATTTTTGCTTCAAGTATCCCCATCAAAAGAAATCAAGAGGTGCTATGTCTGGGAAGCGTGCAGGCCATCTTATAGGACTAAACTGTCCTATCCATTTATTGTGGAAATGGAGATCTAACAAGTTTCTTACACTAATTGCATTGCAGATTTCTTCTGTCTTGTAAATTTATATCATCCAGAACAGGCATTAAAAAGTTTTCCAATATCTCTATATAACTGTTCTGATTTACGTTTGCGTCGAAAAAAAATGGTCCAATAATTTTTTTATAATGTATCGCACACGAAACATTTACTTTTTTATATCGTTGATTTTTATTTATAATACGGAAATTTGGATTATCTTCCGACCAGTGCCTACAATTTTGATAACTAACAACTCCATTCGTAGTAAATGTTGACTCGTCGGAAAATAAAACCATTCTGTAGAAAAATCTATCTAATATAATTTGTTCCCCAATTAACATACAAAATTCTAAACGAAAGGCATCATCCCCTTTTTCAAGCTTATGTAATCTTACTGGTTTGTAATGATGTTATTTATTATCTTTTAGAATTCTCTGCAAACGGCTTTTAACATTTAAATCTAGTGACCTTTTTCTTAGTGATTTCTTGGGTTCATTTCTTACCCAATCAGTTGCAAGCATTGTAGCAGTATCATTTTCATCATGACTCTGTTTTTTTTATATCTTTCACATCTCCAGTGTTATCGAACTTTAATATCAACTCTCGAACACAGTTCACTGAAACGTACACCTCGGGATATTTTTTATTGAATAGTTCAATTATACAGGGTAGCCCATCGAAAACGTACCGCAAGGCATTACAGGGTAGTAATGAACTTTTCGGCAAAATCCAAAAACAGGTAAAGTTTGCTTCTGAGGGGGACAACTTTTGGCGCAAAAAGCATAGCAAAATCTTCAACCCCCTAAGTGGGGGTGCCATCCCCCAAATTTTTTTAAATGGGAATGGGGGTCAAGTGGGGGGTCATTAGAAAGGGCTTTTAATTCTCTATACATCGATTCTTACTTTTTGAAAATCGATCCATTATTTTAGAAAATATGCAGCTTTGAAAATACGAACAATATTTTTGACGAGAAATGCGAAAATCGATTTAATTTTACTTCAAAACTTACGGTATTAGCTTGGTAAATTCCTTCAAAAGAATTCGCTGTTTTTTTTTTTCTGATTTGCGAATTCTTTAGCCTGATTTTGGTGAGCAAAAAATTGTCCGCTTTTTGTTTCGTATTTAGATAGGCCACAAGAAGTTGCTAGATAACTGTCTTGTGACTTGTAGTTGAAGAGTACCAATACTGCCGAGTCTTTTAAATTGATTAATTATGGTGTACTCAATTCCAGAAAGAGTAGAAATTATTGAGCTTTTTTTCAAAAACAATGAATGCGGAAATCGGGTCGCCGAACTGTTCAACCAACGGCATCCTGAGAAACATGCGTCTGGAAAAATTGTTCGCGAATTGGTGGCCAAATTTCGCGAAACTGGCTCCGTTCATAACAAAAAGAGGCAGGTTGAAAATCCGGTACTAAATGAACCTACGGAAATAGCGGTATTGGGGCAAGTGGCAATGGATAGTACGCTGAGTACAATGCAATTGGCTACTGCGACAGGAGTGAGTCGTACAAGTGTCCAACGAATATTAAAAAAATACAAATTCCATCCTTATAAGATTCGGCTAGTGCAAGAGCTAAATGAAGACGATTTTGATCGTCGTTTGCAATTTTGCGAAATAATGACTGAACGAGCGATAAACGATAATTTCCTCTTTAATGTGTGTTTTTCGGACGAGTGTACGTTCTTCTTGAATGGTTTAGTGAATCGCCATAATTGTCGTTACTGGGCTGATACCAATCCAAGGATTTTCCATGAGACACACTCCCAACACCCCCAGAAGTTGAATGTATGGGCAGGTATTTTTGGAAATTCCATTGTAGGTCCTTTTTTCCTTCCTGGAAATTTGACAGGCGATATGTACTTGGATTTACTACAAAATGTCATCGACCCAGCTCTAACAAATATCATAGAGGACGACCCTGCTTACAATGAACACGAACTGATTTTCCAGCAAGACGGAGCTCCTCCACATTACTCGCTCAATGTGCGCAATTACCTAAATGAGACGTTTCCAGGACGCTGGATAGGACGAAGAGGTGCAATTGAGTGGCCCCCTCGGTCACCCGACTTAAATCCTTTAGATTTCTTTCTCTGGGGGCACATTAAAAGCAAAGTTTACAGCACTCCACCTGATACCTTGGAAGATCTGCGAGGACGAATCATTAATGTATGTCGCGAAGTAACACCGCAAGTGCTCCAGAATGTTCGACAACGGTTTGAAGACAACCTGTATCATTGTATGCAAGTTGGCGGACAACATTTTCAGCATTTACTTGACTAATACCGTAAGTTTTGAAGTAAAATTAAATCGATTTTCGCATTTCTCGTCAAAAATATTGTTCGTATTTTCAAAGCTGCATATTTTCTAAAATAATGAATCGATTTTCAAAAAGTAAGAATCGATGTATAGAGAATTAAAAGCCCTTTCTAATGACCCCCCACTTGACCCCCATTCCCATTTGAAAAAATTTAGGGGATAGCACCCCCACTTAGGGGGTTGAAGATTTTGGTATGCTTTTTGAGCCAAAAGTTGTCCCCCTCAGAAACAAATTTGACCTGTTTTTGGATTTTGCCGAAAAGTTCTTTACTACCCTGTAATTCCTTGCGGTACGTTTTCGATGGGCTACCCTGTATATTTGTATGATACTTCACCTATACCGTAACATTTAACTAAATAGATTCGTTGTCAACATTATTAAAAAGTTATCTGATAAGGACTTGACTTTTTTATAAATAAATATCAGTATATGGATATACACATAGAATAGTTTTGTTATTATTCAAGAATTTATGGGCTTTCGTTGAATTTATAAAATTTAATCATAATTTTCGCAAAAATATCAACTTTGAGATACGACGTTCAAATTTCACATCTGGACTATTATTAACTATTAACATTAGAAACAACTTCTTTCTGTAAAAAACTAATACTTTACTTTGGCACAAATTCACGAATTCTTATTTGACAACTACCCTTTATGTTATTTTGAAAGTCTGAGTATGGCTAATGATTTTTCACTAAAAAATTTTTATGAAGAATGACTTTCCCTTAAAATGCGAAATAAGGAAAATTACAAGTATAGTTGGGTCCATCCGGAGACACACTGATAGTTTTTAAAATTTCAAAATGTCAGAAATTAAAGTTTCAAGAGATAAACGTATACATACATATGAAATTCTTTTTTTAAATTTAGATGTTTCTACATTTTTACCACCCTCTATCTGATCATAATCAATTAACATAATTCGTCTTCTATGATACAATATAAGGTAATTATAATATTTTGGAATTTATTTTGGTATTAAGTAAAAAATGTTGCTGGCTATCGATTCCCAAGTGTTATTGTGATTTATTTTTATCTGGACGATTTTATTAAAAAGGCGTAAAACATGCGTTCTTAATCTTCGTTGTAGACTTCTTTCTTAACATTTCGCCCTAGTGCAGTCCCACTGAATAAAAAAATTGTTCTACATACATTTCTGTTGAACATCAAAGAGTTTAGTAGAAACATATTGAAAATACAAACCATTTCTGTAAGCACTTGCATTAAAAAAACACGCACAAAATAAAGAGCCCGCTATCTATTAAACACACCTAGCGTATACTCTACCGCTTACTAAACGCGCTGGGCGTGCAATGAGCGTTTAAAACATGAAAACACTCACTCCTATCAGCAAACATCACGAGTATGTGACTGAGTAAAGTTCAACTGTACCTCCATGCTCACCGATCGACGGGGCCCACTTGACACGATTAATTTATGCTGCTGATATAAGGTTAGGAAAATATGTAAAATACAGCAAACAAATAAATGCAATTGAGTATCAATTATTTTTTAACGTTTCTCAAAATTTTATGTCAATTTCACTTAAAGGAAGGAGAGGAATTCAAGCAAAAATGCTTATCATTAGGAACAGCTGATCCAGAGACCATTCAAAGTTTGAAGAGCAGCATGTTGTGATGTGTGATAACTACCTACACATATTTTTCTTTTTTATGGTATAAAATAAAAAATACCAAGCGCAATATTCTCTGACTGGGAAAAAGCAACATTATGGTTGTTTAATGTAACTTATATAAATATTTACAATTCATTAAAGCATGCATTTTTGCGAAGATAAAAGTAGATAAATTTTGTTTGTAGCGAGAGAAACAACATTAATCTTTTAGTGATAATAGGACTGTTCCAACAAGAGTCAGGGATTGGTTCCCAACCGTACGAAATGTTTGGCCAGCTAAATTCTAAATGTGTCTTGTAGTATAACAACCCTAGGTTCGATAAAAAAACAATATATCGTAGTTGTGGCCAAAAATATGTGATCGTCATAAGGACTACCTACGTTGTGTGTATCCATTTTTTTATTGACCAATAGGCGCTGGCTACTAACTTTGTAGAGGCGATGCATGGTTTAATTATACAAAACAAAAGCAGAGTAGATACACCTAACCTTTATTTACATACAATTCAAATTAAACATGTGACAAATAGAAAGAACAACAAAAACATTAACAACCATTAAACATAAAAGGAGAGTGCCAGGCTCACCTAGAGCTCCTGCGGGGAAAGAGCATGGCAGAGAAACCCACGATCTTTGCTCTCACCATCCAAATATAAATACAAAACAACCGCTAACCAAAGGCATAAATTAAGAACCTTTGCTAATGATAATTAAGACCTGTCTCATTTAATGTGTCACTAAATGTCATCTGTTACCTCATATTAGTCATACACACTTCCAAGTAAAACTGAAGAGGTTTGGTGTTAGTTAGCCGGCAGAGCCGGAAGGTACTGGAGTCCCATACGGGAGGCAATCCAGCTATAGTTGAGATTTCGGAAGATCCTTCATAACACTGGAGTCCCATACGGGAGGCAATCGAGCTTAATCCAGATTCGTTCCGCACGGGCGAAAATGTTAGTAAACTCAACAAGGCTCGTATAGACGTATGACATAAAGTGAGCACAAGAAATCAAAGAACAACTTAATCATGGTAAAACAAGTTAAATGTGAAATAAAGAAGTCGTTATTGCAATATCCGGGCGGTCACGACAATATACATATTTTAACATGTAATAAATAATGAGCAATCTATAATAATAATTGTAACAATTTTATATTAGAAAAATACACGCCCCTGAGGGTAAGACAATGAAGGCTAAACATACACAGAGAATTATTATTATGAAACAACTGTTTTTCGTATAACGTATTCATGACAAAAACAAGTTAGATGTGAAACAAAGAAGTCGTTATATATATACGACAATATATATATGCACATATATATTTTAACATGTAATAAATAATGGGCAATCGTTAATAACAATTGTAACAATCTTACGTTAGGAAAATATACGCCCCTGAGCATAAAACAATGAAAGCTAAACATACAAAGAATTATTATCATGAAACATCTATAACCATCACAATCATAAGATTATATAGAACAATTAACAACAAAGTACTTAAAGAATATTACCTGCTAACTAATAACACTTTAAACACTTAATTTTACACTACTTTGTCACACTGCCCGCCGATCGTCTTACTACCGATCTCCACACTGTTCTCACTTCAACTACCTATCTTCAACTAACTAGGCTTCCTTTCAGAATTTCCTACCTAAGTGCCTGTTTTTTTGTGCTTCCTTCTATCGACCGTTAATATTACTTTTTCATTGTTATACAACACCCATGTAGCAGGTGACGTGGAAGTTGATAAGATAAGTACGGTTTTGCACAGTCTTCAGTGAATGTATCGCAAGAATTAGTTGGATGCACATTCCTGACGGAACAGACCTAATATCTCCAAAAATGTTCTGTTGGTTCAACTTAAATATGGTACTAATAAGTATGCGTATTAGTATATGTATTAAAACACTTAGTTACGTCACATGTACCAAGCGCGCATGCGTCATCTCCCCCTTCCTTTCCGTCCATTTCTATTATTTGAGTAATAGTTGAGTAATTAATTATGAGTGAACATTTCAAGCACAAATTTTGGCCAGCGGTACCGCCCACTGTTTACTGTTACTTACATTAACTTTAGCAATTTGTAAGCAGCAATAATACTTAAATATAATTTAAAAATTTCATTTGCGTTTAGAACATTTTTTAAAACCTTATTTCTTCTTTTCAAATTGTCTATAATACCAGAAATATTGAGATTTTACCCTCATAATATTTATTATATTCAGAAGGTGGGTAAAATTATTCGTAAAATGCCTAGCTATCAAAATAGCACTTTGAATTTACTTCTAAAATATTTTAACCGTGTTCCAATATATTTCCAAAATTAATAGAAATTAATGTGAAGTATTTAGATATCATACTACCTGTAGCATATAACTAATAAAAAAAATAGAGAAATATGATGGTTCTTAATGAGCAACACTGTAAGTATATAATTATTATATATGAGAACCATAATATTTCTTAAATTTTTCTTTTGTTCACGATAAGATTGATTTTTTTATATACAGGGTGTCCTGCATAAGAACCGACACAGGGCAGGTGCATGTAGGGGTGCCCAAAATATTGTAATTTAACCAAACTTACCTATAAACAAAGTTTTCAAATTTTTCAATTCGGTCAATGAAAGAAAAAGTTCGGTACAATTTTAGGGGTGAGTCATCACCAATGAACATCTTGTAGCGCTTCAATTAACTTTAAATCATATCATGAGTAAGTTTGTTTAAATTACAATATTTTAGACACCCCTACATGCACCTGCCCTGTGTTGGTTCTTATGCGGGACACCCTGTATAGTGGCCTTCTATAGATATGGCCGATTGCCATGACCAGTTACTTACTAGCCCACGATCTGCTGCATTTTTCGAAGCGTTTTTTCGAAATATTACATTGTAGATTATTTTATTGAAAAACTACCTCGCTTTAATCAGCATCAATTAAAATCCTAAAATTTCAGCAATGCAGAATATTTTTTTATATAAACTTAAAATTTGTTACTATCCAATTGAAATACTTGAAGATAATAAAAAATTAGCGAATTGCTGACACTTTTCGTTATACTTAATTGATAAAATGTTATTGGAATATTATATAGATTATTAATAAAACATATTTATCAGTGCTCCTAATAGATCGGGAGATATTCGTAAAGTTCAACGACGCCTTTCTCGTTGATGCCTTTTAGGGTAGGTACTGAAAGATACATTAGAGACAAGTAAGATTATGGAAAAAACCGATGTGCCCGCCGGGACACCTATGTGAAAATTTAATTTTCTTTTTCCGCAGCTTTTCCAAAGCCCTATTTTCTTTAGTCCTTAGTAGGACTTATGCCAATGTTTTTTATGAGCTTTTCGAATATAATAATGTCATATTTCTAATTGGCATTAATGAGAAATTGGTAGACAAATAAAGATGTTTTTCCACATTTTCTTACAAAGTTTTCCATATTTAGGTCTCTTGCGACACTTATGCCAAAAAAATTTCGTGATAAAATCGATACTTCTCTTCAACTTACGAACATGGCATAAGTGAGAAATACGTCGCTGTACACATTATTTTTTTGAAAAGGAAAATTGAATTTTCACGAAGGTGTCCCGCAGCCCATCTTTTAAATTTAGTTTATTGTACTTGTCTCTCGGTTACCTTTCAGTACTCTCAGAGGCATAAACGAGAAAGACGTCGTCGAACTTCAGTCTAATATCTTCCGGTCTATAAGAGAAAACAAAAACTACACATTTCCAATTCCAAGAAAGTGGCATAATACATATTAAGTGCTCTGTGTTACCGGATTTTTAAGTATGTAACTGCAGTACTGGAAAAAATTAAGGTAACAAACAAATTTCATACATTTTTTAGTGATTTCTGAAAAGTTGTATCACAGCGAAAAATTTTGTCTCTAGTTTCAAGATTTTTTTGACAAAATTTTTTTGTGAGTTACTGTTATCAAGCACCTAAAGAAATACCTACCTCAAGAAATAATTTTTTTTCATCCTTGATTGAAAAAAAGTGCAAAAAATACTTTTTACGGTTTTTTAGATAATCTACAATTTATTGATGAAAAAACTAATGTTGAGAGAAATTTTTGCAGCTCAATGTACCCACAATAATCCTGTAAATTGATAAGTTCATGGATCGAACCGTTTTTCTGTTCCAAATGATCAAAGTTTTGGAAACAATTAAAGAAACACATTTATTTCTACTAAACATTATGTAATCATTATCAAAATGAAAAAGAAGAATTTTTGTCGACTTTACAATAGTCTTTTCATTACAATTTGTAAATTAGCGACAAAATTTCATTCAAGTCATTTTTTTGCATTTTTTTCAAATTAATGTTAAGGATGAAATTTGTTTTTTCTTAAAAATCCATGAAAAGTCCTTGTAGAGTCCAAGTATTTAAAACCGCCCTTAAATTTACTGTACAGTCATTAGTTACTGAGATATTGATGATCAAAGACAAAACGGTCCTTTTTCATTCGAGGCCGGATATCTTAACAAAAAATTGACCTGCAGAGGCAAAAAAAAAACAAACTAAAACTGAATAATCAAACTAACTGACCTATGCATCAGTCTAAGTGAAAAAACTTTCTTGAGTACTTGGACTCTTAAAAATAAATAAAAAAGTTTGGAAAATTTTTTCCGTTATGT